CCTCTGCTAAAGATGGCCCCCTAAAAATGGTGTCACCTGGTCCTTGTCACACCTGTAGGGACTGGAGCTCAGCACGTGGGCACCTGCTGACAACGGCTGCCGCTGAGACCGAGACCGTCAGGACTAGCGGGCTGAAGCAGCAGACCCCTCCTTCCTGCCCCAGGAGGGCCTGAGGACCCAGCCACCGTGGGGCGGGCAAGAATGGGGCGTGCCTGGGGGTCCCCGCCCCTGCCCAGGGGCCCAGGTGCCCTGCCTCTCCCAGGACAGACGCCTTCTCATTCCGAAGGCAGACCCGGTCCCTCGGCAGCGGGCCTGGGAGGGGCCTGGGCAGGGAGGGTCCCAAAGCCTGAGCTACCACAGCCTCGGCGTCACCGTCCCTGCCCACGCCGCCACTCTGTTACCCCAGAACCCAGCGCCTGCACAGTCCTCGGGTCAGAGGTGTGCCCCTGCCTTCTGAAGTCTCCTTTACTGGCTCAGGTGCAGAGGGGAACCCCGACACCTCTCTGGATCTGGGCTTCCTCACTTGTAAGCGAGGTGGTCGATGGCAGCACCCTTGGCTCTCGCAGCCCCTCCAACTCCTGCAAAACCAGAGGGAGGTCGGCTGGCCCACGTCCCTCCGGGGGCCTCCTGCACTGAGCTTCCCTCAGAGGAGTCCGTTCACCGAAGCCCAAGGGTGCACGTCTTTGCCCCCAGTCATGCACCTCTGTAGGATTATGGCTGTTGTAAAGCAGATCTGCTAGGGCATAAACAACTGGGCGAGCAGTCAGAACCGCGGCCCCCTCGTGTGACCCCAGCCTTCAGGAGGCGCCTAGTGTGTAGACAGCAGCGGCTTATTTGCAGGAGTGGGCAGTGGAGGCAGAGCCAGGGGTCATTAGGCCTGCCCTGAGGCAGCTGGTGGGCCCCCTGCGGGAGCCGGTCCAGGCCACTGCGGGTCTGCACGTCCACACTGCCACCCAGCGGCGGGACGAGAATGGATGTCGCAGAGGAAATGGGTGGCATTGTTGATTTCAAGGCCACTTAAGCACCAGTTGTGCAGAGCTGTCAGGATGTGTGTGTGTGTGTACATGTGTGTGCATGAGACAGAAGAGGGAGAGGGGGGCTGGGAGGAAGGCTGCGAGGGGGGAACAGGAGGGGGAAGGCCGGGAGGGGCCCCGTGGGCTGCTCAGAAGAACAGAGGGCAGGCACGCAGGGGAGGCAGGCTATGGCAGCCCCGCAGTGGTGCTGTGCCCTTTGGAAATGCCCAGCCAGGCTCCTGCCATTCCTCATCCTCAGCCTGTACGGGGTACGCTGTACCCGGCAAAAAGAAGGCCAGCCTGGGGAAGGCAGGGCTGTGACTGTGCAGGGAGTCAGGCCCTGGGGGATGTGTGTCCGCTCATCTCGGCCCTGCCACGCGGCTGTGTGGGCACAACGCCATCCAGGTGGAGGGGCAGGGAGGCCGCACCATGGTGTGTCTCTCCGTGGCAGGTTCTGGCTCTGGGGGGCCGCATGTCTTCGTCGCTCTGGCCCCTGCATGGCCATCGGCTGGATGTTCCTGCCCTGCCCAGATGTGACCAAGGCCCTCCCGTCGGACGGCCGCCTCTGGGGACCAGTCTGCACTGTGCGCCCTGCTTCCTCGGGGGCAGGGTGAGGTGGGGGCTGAGGGGCAGTGCCACTGAAACCCGATCCAGCTCAGCACTTGCAAAGACCAGGGTGTTTCTCAGCTGTAAGCAAGAAAGTCTGAGTCTGGGTAAATTAATCAGAAAGGGGATTCGTGGAAAGCGTTCTGGCAGTTTCACAGGAATTCTGTGAAGATTGGAGAATGATCTTGGATGCTATGGGGAAGGGAACAAAGTCTGTAAGTCCTGCCGCCGATGGGCCTGTGGGGGTCTCTGTGCTGCTGCGGCTGTGGAGGCTGGCTCTGGTCACCTGTGGGCACCTCCCTGGCTCCCCATTTGGAGTCTGTCTGGGTACCAGGGCTCCAGGGCCCGTCTGTGTGTCTGCACGAATCCACAGGCCCCATTCATAGGCCTACCACACACAGGACTTAGCGCCCTTGGTGGCTTTGTGTGTGTCTGTGCCCTGGCTATTCAGGGGGCTGGGAAGCAGGCAGCGTTCAGTGTCTCAGGTGAGAGGGAAACGGCCTCCCAGGGACGCGACCTTCCCAGACGCAGTGTATCAGTTGGCTTTGGCTGAGTAACAAACTACCTCACAACTTGGTGACCTGAAACAATGACCGTGTATTCAGCCGTCCGTTGTGATTCTAGCGGTCAGCAGTTGGGCGGAGAGCAGCTGGGTGGGTCTGGTCCTGGCTGGGCTCGTGCAGGAGCGACTAGGGGGGCTGGTCTGGGACACCTCGGCTGGCAGGCTTGTTCTGCACCGTGCTTCTCGTCCTCATGTGACCAGCCTGAGCATGTCAACATGTGTCAACGGGGTTCCAGAAAACGAGAGTGGCTTGAGGGTGTGCCTGAGCCCCATGCCTGAGCTCAAAGTTGGGGCGACACGGCTCTGTCGTCCTCTGGGCTGAGGAAATCACGGGGCGAGCAAGGCCCTCCTGAGTCACTGCACAGGCTGTGGAGCGTTGTGGCCACTCTTGCAACGTTCCACACACCAGGAAAAAGTTCAGAGGTGGCAAAAATAAGGACAGATGCCCATGATGGCAGGGCTTTGGGAGAAGAGGGAGGACACGCCTGGCAGTTAGCACGCGATCTGGCCTGAGTCAAATGGAAGGGAGAGCGCCCGGGGGACCAGCCAGGGGGTGGCCGCACTGTCCCTGTGCGCTTCCCTGAAGGGACAGGAAGCACTTTGAGCGGGGGCAGGTCCTTCTGCTCAGAATCTCATCAGGGCCTGGAGGAGGGTGGACCGGGTTTCCAGCACTGCCTTGGGCTCAGCCCGCCTGGCCCAGCTCTGCTGAGGGCCGTGCTGAGGTGTGTTTCCAGCCTGGCGGTCAGGGGCCCCCACCTTTCATCCATGGGCCATGATGATACTAACAGGTCCAGCCTGTTCCCCGAACGTTCCTATTTCTCCTTTCCCACTCTGACTGCCTCTGGGCCACACTAGTCAGCCGGATTCTAAACCTTTCTCAGCCCTCACCCCTCCCAGGCTTCCCCCAGCCAGGTGCCCACCTGCAGTAGGAGGGACAGGTGCCAGGCTCTGAGCCATCCAGCCGTTCCTCCACTGCAGGCCCTGCCTCGGGCAGGGCACCTCCCCCAGCCAGGGGCCATGTGGCTGTCTGGACAGGCCCACTGGTGCCCCAGAAACTCCGGTTAATGCAGGCTCATGTCTCTCTCGCCTCCTGGAAACCCAGGGACACGTGGTCGGGGGCACTGGATGCATCCTGTAGGTGCCCCTGTCTGCAGCTCTTCTCACCAAAATCCTCCTCATCCAGACTGGATAAAGAGGGGCACGTTTCGCCCCCTTGGAACTCCAGAAACAGCTTCGTCTCCGACTCGGGGCCTCTGCCCTGGATCCACCCTCTGCCTGCTCTCACCCTCCCCACCCCCAGCAGAGCCGGCCAGGGGCGCGGCCACTGGGGGCTCCGCAGCCACGGAGGGGCTCTGTCTCTGCTGCTGGGTGTGGCCTGCGAGCTCGGGAGCTTTAGCTAGTGAGACAGAGATCTATGCTTTTAGTTTCATTTAACTCTAATTTAAATTTAGATGGATTTTAAATAGTTCGTGGCTGCTGCATTGGACAGGGCATCTTGTCCTCCACGTGTGGCGCAAGCACACGGCGCTGCCCTGAAGCTTTTAGAACCTAGACTCAGCCCTTCCGGCTGTGGAGTCGGGGCCCCCGCGTTAGCAGGGAAGCTGGATGCCCGCCAGGCTTCAGGAGCCGAGCTCCAGGTAAGGACGTGCGGGTCTGGGCGGCCCCCGCTCCGCCGCGAGCACCCCTCCTGGGTGCTGCCCACACGGGGCCGAGGCTTAGTGATCGGAAGGGTGGGAACGCAGCTCTCCGTTTTGCGGTGTGTCCCGTGGGAGGCAGTGAGCAAACAGCGCTGGTGCTGCCAGTGAGGGGAAGGGGCGCGGGGGTGGGAAGGAACGTCAGGGCAGAACCGCACTGCTGATTTACTGAAATACCGTCTGCTGCAGAAGGCAGCCCCGGATGCGTCGGAGTTCCATATGGAGGGGTGGACGGTCAATGCGGACCCGAGGGTGTGGGGTGGGTGGGGGCTGCTCATCCAGACTGGATAAAGAGGGGCACGTTTCGCCCCCTTGGAACTCCAGAAACAGCTTCGTCTCCGACTCGGGGCCTCTGCCCTGGATCCACCCTCTGCCTGCTCTCACCCTCCCCACCCCCGAGCAGAGCCGGCCAGGGGCGCGGCCACTGGGGGCTCCGCAGCCACGGAGGGGCTCTGTCTCTGCTGCTGGGTGTGGCCTGCGAGCTCGGGAGCTTTAGCTAGTGAGACAGAGATCTATGCTTTTAGTTTCATTTAACTCTAATTTAAATTTAGATGGATTTTAAATAGTTCGTGGCTGCTGCATTGGACAGGGCATCTTGTCCTCCACGTGTGGCGCAAGCACACGGCGCTGCCCTGAAGCTTTTAGAACCTAGACTCAGCCCTTCCGGCTGTGGAGTCGGGGCCCCCGCGTTAGCAGGGAAGCTGGATGCCCGCCAGGCTTCAGGAGCCGAGCTCCAGGTGAGGACGTGCGGGTCTGGGCGGCCCCCGCTCCGCCGCGAGCACCCCTCCTGGGTGCTGCCCACACGGGGCCGAGGCTTAGTGATCGGAAGGGTGGGAACGCAGCTCTCCGTTTTGCGGTGTGTCCCGTGGGAGGCAGTGAGCAAACAGCGCTGGTGCTGCCAGTGAGGGGAAGGGGCGCGGGGGGTGGGAAGGAACGTCAGGGCAGAACCGCACTGCTGATTTACTGAAATACCGTCTGCTGCAGAAGGCAGCCCCGGATGCGTCGGAGTTCCATATGGAGGGGTGGACGGTCAATGCGGACCCGAGGGTGTGGGGTGGGTGGGGGCTGCGGAGGTTCCTGGAGGTGGCCTGGAGCCGGGCTCTCCGAGGGGCTTCCCGGGGAGGGAGGGGTGTGGGCGGGGGAAGGGCCAGCCGAGCCAGGTGGGAGGCCCAGGAGGCGGACAGGGTGGGCTGGTGGTGGGCTGGGCCCGGTGGCCGCCCCTCCTAGGCCGCAGGGGCCCTGCTGCACCCCTGACGTGTCTGAGCTCCCACTGCGTCAGCCACTCTCAGCTCAGGCGGCCCTGCCCGCATTCCCTCCTTTCTGAGCCTCAGTTTCTCCCCCGGGAGCAGCATCACCCCGCAGGCACGTGCCGACAGCGCCATCCGCTGTGCACTGCGCGTGTCGCAGCCCCAGCTCCCTGCGGCCAAGCTGCGCTTTCTGAAGGCCCGAGAGCTCTAAGTCACACGGGGCTCTGCGTGCAGTGCGCGTCCTGGGGCGGAAGGTCCTCCCTCCGAAAGGTTGTCTTCCCTCGGGCTGAACCGCTGCTGGTGTGGCACACGAACTGGGGGACAGGCTCCTTCTAGAGCGACAGCTCGCATGGGGTGGGAGGGGTTTCAGGCCCGGGCTGGGAGCCGATGGTTAGGGCTGGGGGCTCCGGGCGGGGTCAGCATTTGGGGGAGGGACCGGGTCTGGCTATGGGCCTCACACAAGGGTCTGCAGTCTCCCTGGGCTCCTCCAGGGAGGGGCCGCTCCACCTCCAGCGCCGTCTGCCCGCAGCCCTGTGACATCACGCAGGCCAGTCTCCAGAAGGCTCTGTCTCGCTCGCTCAGGCTCCTGTACATTCCCTCCTGACACCTGAGCACGAGGGGACCCTGGCTGGCTCGTGGGGACAAGAAGTCAGTCCTAAACACTGAACTGTGGACTCCTGGGTGAGGTCGGAGTGCTGTTTATAAATAACCTGTTGTTTTTAAGTTGTCATTGCCAAAGAACAGGGCAACCGCAGAGACGATTTGATGGCACGGGGACCAGGTGGTCCGTCTGGGGCAGACGCCGCCTGGGTGCTGTTGACCACTGGCGCTGGGGGTGGCCCGGCACAGGGAACGGTGTTTCCAGGGCCGGAAACGCCCCCGAGAGGCCCTGGTTCTCCTCCCGCTCCGCTGGGCTGCACAGGACTGGTCTTCACGCAGATACCGAGTGAGCTGAGCCCTTGGTGAGTGCCACACCTCTGAGCCAGGCTGGACGACTCCACCGCGGCTTCCCAGCGTCCCACATGCGGGGCTTGGCTCCTCCAGGTTGCTGCCTATACTTGCTCTAGTTTTGATCCGTACATAAATAAGCTGCTTTTATTTCACTGTAAATCTCATACTTTTGACCAAATGCTTTTTTAGGACTTTGGACAGTGCGGACAGAAATCATGGGGGTCCCTGCCACGCAGGGACTGTTCCCAGTGGCAGGGCCAGGCTTCCTCCTCGGAGGCACCCCCCTGCCTGGATGCTCTCCGATGAGGCTCTTCTTGTTTTAAGGCAGATCTCAGAGGAGACTGAAGCACTGCACAGTCCAGACTGTATGAGATCTCAGGACCATACTTTTTCATCAGAAGAGGATAATTGCCCATCTCCCTGGAGTAACTGTTCCTGGTGAATAAGTTGCACTTTACATTAAAAGCTTTGGCATGGTCACCCTTTTAAGGAGGAGAGAGTTGTCCCAAAGATCATTTCAACAAGCAGTACTGAGGGTTCCCACTGTAGATTCAGGCCTTCCCCAGCTCCTCTGTCCAGAGAAGGAATTGAATGGGCGGGACCCTGAGCAGAGGTGAGCCCGGGGCACCGTCAGGGAGCTGCAAACTCCCGACTGGCTTCCAGGCAGCCTGAGCTCCCGGTGGGCGAGACTCCAGGATCTCCAGTTCTGCAAAGCCCACGCTGTCAGGGGATGCATTCGGGGTTTGTGGCTGAGCAGAGAGACTTGGCCCAATAGCGAGACCCTTTGATAGCAGGCGCGGGCGGTATACGGGCAGCCTGTGCTGTGTTCTGCAGACCCGGATTTGAGGGCTCACTTCTTTCCCCCCCTCCCATGTTTGTCTTGGGGTGGAGAGGCTTCTCACAGGACAGCCTCGAGACTGTTCGGAGAATGCAGATGACAAATGATGCCACCCCCAGGGGAGAAAGTGAAGGGCTTACACTTGCCCCTTCCTTTGCACTACTGTGTGACCTTGGGCAAGTGCCTGGCCTCTCTGGGCTTCTCTGCAGATATGATCACATGGCACTTCCAGGCTGGGGTGCAGATGTGAAGATAAAGCTGAGGCTTTCAGATTTCAGTTCCCTCCTGGATGCTTCTATCTCACACGGTTCCACAAATTTTATGACAAATGTGGCAGGAACCTGACCTCAGCAAGAAAATGCTCAATGTCAGGCTCAGCTCAGTGGGCCGGCCTCAAGCTGGGGTCCTAATCACACCCGAGCAGTGGAAGAGTCCGGGCAGCTTTGGGCCGGCACCCGCGGAGGGAAGGCGGGTGGTGGTGCGTCTGTGCATCCTGAATGCCGGCAGGTGCCTGGGCCCAGTGGGGCCACGACAGGCTTTGGGCTCCAGCTGCTGGTGGGCGGCGGCGTGACTCCTGGGAGCCTGGAGCCCCATATCCCTCTGTACTTTGGCGGGGATGACACGTCTCGGGTTGAGAAGTTTGAATGCGAGAATATGGGAGTGTTAGTTTTCTGTTGCTGTCACACATTCTCAGTGCCTTAAATAGCACGAATTATCTCTCAGTCTGTAGGTCAGAAGTCCAGGTGGGCTCAGCTGGTCTCTCTGCTCTGGGCTTTAGGAGGCTGCCGTCAAAGTATCGCCAGCTGGGCCTTACCAGGAGGCTCTGCGGAGAATCCTCTTCGAGCTCAAGGAGGTGGTGCTGGAACCCAGTTCCTGGGTTGCAGGGCGGAGGCTTCTGGTTCCTGCTGTCGCCTGGGGCCACCCTAAGCTCTAGGGGTCTCTCTCTGGTCCTCGCACATGGGCCCTGGCAACAGCGTTGTGGCTGAAGTGAAGGTTCCTGTGGCCAGGACTCTCACCTGGCCCTGGCTGGCCAGCTCACTGCACACCTGCGGGCAATACATGGCTGTTGACTCTCTATAGAGAGCTCCGCCCAGGGCTCTGGGCTGCATGGCTGCCAGAGAGCAGAGGCTGGGGTGGTGGCAGTGCCGAGGACAGAGACTGGGACGGCTGCAGGGGCGGAGAGGTAGGCAGAGAATGACCGGCTTGTGTGTGCTGACTGGCTCTGAGTGGATGGGATCTAGTGACTGACCTGCCACAGTGGGAGTAAAGTTGGGTATAGACCCTTTGACCCCAAGAACGTTCCACTGTCATTTTTAAGTCTCATTGAATCCATACAGTGGGAACCCTCAGTACTGCTTGTTGAAATGATCTTTGGGACAACTCTCTCCCCCTTAAAAGGGTGACCATGCCAAAGCTTTTAATGTAAAGTGCAACTTATTTACCAGGAACAGTTACTCCAGGGAGATGGGCAATTATCCTCTTCTGATGAAAAATCCACTGACACCCATTGGCAAGACGAGCATGTACACCCTGTTCTCTTGTGAAGCACGATTCAGCGTGACCCTGTGATTCCTTCTGAAGCCCCTTCTGTGGGGTGTAGCTCCTGTGCTTGCAGCCAGAGCAAGTGCCCCACTTTTAGGGTCTCATGATTAGGCTGGTCCCACCCGGATCGCCCAGGTGTGCCTTCCTGTCTTAGGGGCTGTGACCTTATGGCATCTGCAAACGCCTCCTTGACATGTGAGGGACACACCCCCGGGGCTTGGGGACCGGGCAGTGGGCGTCACCGGGGGCCCCCACAGGGCGAAGTGCTCCACCACCCGCACCCAGGCCCCTCGGGCATGCCGCTCGTTACCAGGGTCGTCGGTGTGCTCCTGCTTCTCGCTCCTCCTGGACTCGATTCTTTGAAGTGAGAAGCGTGTATGTGTTCCAGTCATTGAGCTCAGATCCGATGAACAGGGGCTGTATCGTGGACAGTCGGATGGACAGTGTGATCCCCAGCCCGCAAGTTCCCATCTGCACCGTTTCAGGTGAGTCTCCGTGGAGCGCATCTGGGCGTCCGCCTCCTGGGGCCCACGCTCGGGCTCTTCCCACTCCCATCCGCCTCCCGTCCCCCGTGCTTCCCCCAGCCCACCGTCTTGGGCAGCAGGTGGGCTTAGTTAGGGCATCGGGTCCTGCTCAGAGCCGGCCCTCAGCAGCGCTTTGGGAGTGAATGAGATACAGATGTGTGGCCAGGTGCCATTGAGAAAGAGCCTGTGGCTCAGGGTGCGGGGTGCTGGGGAGACTCCCCAGGATGCAGGATGCTGTCTGTGTGTCTGGGTGGCTCATGGGAGCTGTTGTATTTTCATCTCTAGTTTTGTGTAAATGTGTGACTCTTAAAAGGGAAACTCACCATGAGAAGAATGTCATTCTTTAGTCTCAGAGCGTCTCCCCCAACTTTTGGGCTCAGACGGGGGCTGGGTCCCCGGAGGGAGGCGTGGTGTGTGCGGGAATGCCTGCCTGGAGGGGGCACATTGGCTACCACCTGGTGGCCCGAGGGCCAGGGCCGCCGCAGTGTGCTGGCTCCTTGGCAAATATTGCTCAGACTGTAATGCCTTTGGCCTCCGTAGCTGCTCAGGGAAATCTGTGCAGCCTCCCTTCTGCAGGAAGGCCCCAGGTCCCCCCTCTGCAAAGTGGTGTGCAGACCCCCAGCCTGGCTCTGCCACTCTGGGGGAGTGTGACCCCGGCACCCAGTCTTTGCATCTGTGAAATGACAGTTGAACAAAGTTAGGGATTCTCGGCCCTGGCAGGCCATCAACCAGCCCCACCCTGAAGATTCTGATCCATTGGTCTGGGTGGGCCTTTAAAAGGCCGGAGGGGATTGGGAGGAACCAGTCAGCTCGGCTGAACCCACCGCAGGCAGGTGCCGGTCACTCCTTGGTCAGCCCCAACTTCTCTGAACATCTATTAGAAGGCATGAGCTGCTCCCTCATGAGAAGGCCTGTTGCAATTAGGGAAGATCAGCCCTGGACTATGCAGCTGGGCTACTGGGCATTGGGGGCCCCTAGAGGCCCACCTGGCAAACCATGGTGGAGCTGGTGCTGCCCAGCACTCCCCAGGAGAGGGCCTGCTCTTGGCCCCCTCTGGGCTCCGTCCCTCTCCCTGCCTCCCCTCCCCTGAGCGCCGGGGCCCTGGAACCACTCCGTCCCCATTCCCCCCACCATCCGCCCACCCTCCAGGTTTTGGGGCTCCTCGTGTCCCTTGGCTCGCATCCCGTGTGGCTGCCACCAGCCCCTCCACCAGCCACCGCGCCTCTGGCTCTGCCCTGCCCTGCCCTCCAGCCTGCTCGGGCTCCCGGGTGGCCTCCACAGTGCCCTCCTGCCCTCGATCTGTCAGTCGAGCCCATCCTGGCTGAGAGGACCGTCCAAAGGAAAGCCTGACTATTCCTCGCCTGCCCAACCTGCCGGCCATAGAATCAGGCCTGGGCCCCGCAGGAGGATGCCCTGTCAGACCTTCCTCCGGGGCTGCACTCACTGCTCTGTTCCCAGACCCCCTGGTTCTGGGCCACGGGCCCCTCACTCAGCAGCCTTCCTCTGTGCTCTTGCCCGGAGTGCCTCGGGGGGCTGGCTCCCGTCCAGCTGCCAAGACTCAGCTGCCTGGTCCAGGACACCTGAGCTCCGTGCCCGCCCGGCACTCCGCACCATCCTGCAGTGCCCCGGGCCCACCCCGCTGGGTCTGCTTTGCTGCGTGTGTCTCTTGCTGGGCTCTTGGGGCTAGGGTGGGGTCTTACCTCCTGTGGGTCCTCTGTGCCTGGCAGAGGGGTTGGTAAGCCGGAGGTGGGCAACAGAGTGAAGGTGAGAGGTCACAGCTGGCACCACACTGGTGATCTTAGAGCTCGGTGTGGTGTGAGCTGAGGTCTGCCTGAGGGCCGCAGCTCGCCGGCCGCCTCTCCTGCATGGTCCCCGGCTTGAAATATTTGAGGAAAGTCAAAAGAGGGAGACCATTTGATGACACAGATAGTACAGAATCCAAATTCTCCATGCTAAGTGTCACAGCAACATGGCCACACCGGGTCGTTTGCTGTCACACTGTGGGAAGGTGGGGAGGCCCAGCAGCCTGGCCCTTTGCAGCAAGTCCAGAGCCCCTGGCAGGGTGGAGGGGCTGGCTTTGCAGGTGGCACCGGAGCATGTAATGTAAGCCCATTTCCTGCTCTGGACCATGTGGTGCTGGAGGACTGTGACCTAAGCACCCTTGGGTTTCCATGTGGAGCGTGAGGACAGTCATGGACACTGAGCAAGGGCATCACGGAGCTGGAGAGAGCCTGTGTCAGGGACTCAGTACATGCCTGGCACACAGTAGGTCTTCAAAAGATGGTTTTGCAGGCCTGTTGAGCTTTCCTCCACTGATGAGGGTTAGAGACTCCTAAGACCATCGCTGAATCCTTCTGTCCAAGGTCATTCATGAAAAGTGGTACTACAGTAAGGGCACACTCCTTAGTGGGCACGCCAATGCTCCATGAGCCACACACCTTTCTGCAGCTTCTGCCGTGGTGAAAATGTGTCTTCTGCGTCCTTCAGTGTGCAGGCTCCCGGCGCACCTGGCTTCTGAGCATGTGACATGTGTTGGAATGACTAAGCAACTGGATTTTGTATTTCACTGGATTTAAATGTCAATACCACAGGTGGCAAATGCTTACCATCCTGGTGCAGCCACAGAACCCGAGCGGCCCGGCATTGAATGTACTGCGCGCTCCGAGCCAGGCACCCAGTGTCTCTCCTGTTGGGAGGTGTGGTTTCTTCTTCCGAAGCTGAGGTCATGCAGGAGGCTGAGTGTGACCGTGGAGAGCACCTGCTGAACCTCACCCCTCCTGCCTTTCTGTTAAAGGGCCCCTGGGAGTTTGATTCTCTTTTGAGATTCACCTCTACTCTGGCTCTTCTGCAGTGTTTTACAAACGTCTGTTTGTTTTTCTTTCATCTCAAATAACACATTTTAAACGCTCCTGAGTGCCAATGGAGCTTTGCCCACAGGTGATGGTGCATTAAACTCCTTGGAAGTAGCAGTTAAAGTCCAGGACAACGCTTCCGCCAGGGAGGCTTGCGGGCCAGGGCTCAGCGGGGCCATGCAGGGCTGACGGAGATGCCTCCAGAGCAAGTTCTGCCCCTAGAGGGATTGGTTTCTGCCATTTAAAACAGATGTGTCCAAATGCTAGCTTGTATTTGGAAAAACAGACGCCCTGGAAATGGCTGCTCGTTTTGATGAGTATATGTGCATTAGTGAGCTCACAGAATGCGTGCCCCTGCTTGCGGACCGGCTCTGTTACGTGGGCCCCGTATTGACCCAGCGCTGCCACCGTGGCCCCAGCTCAGAAAGGCCGTCTGCCTGCAGGCCGGCTGCGTAGGGCACTGCACGCTGACTCACGTCTCCTGAAGAAGAGCTTCAATTTATTCATTTCCCAAATGGAAACATTCATTTCTGGAAGGGAATGTTTCATTTTTAAAAGCAGTGCTGAATAGAAGTGTTTTATTGTCTAAACTGAGTGCCAGTTTTGGGGGGCGAGAGTACAAAAATCTGAAGTTGAGACTGATACCCCGAAAGAAAGTGGACATGCCCCCCTCTCTCTTGATCTCTTCCTCCCTTGAATCTGCAGCCAGTGTGTGTGTGTCCTGCAGACTGCCGGGCACAGGCCCAGGGCACATCAAAGGGAAGGATAAGAGGCAGCCGGGATGAAAGCCACAGCCTTCACCTCCCTGCTTTCCACCAGCGGGAGGCGGGGGACAAGCCCCCTGTGGGCCGTGCCCCCCCCCCGTGCCCATGACAGCTGGCCTTTGCATCAGATGGGGAGCTGAGAGGAGCTTTGAATTACTGACTGGCAGAGTGTTAGAGTGCTCTGAGCTCATTGCAACTGCCTGAGAAAAACTGTGTCTTTTCAAAAGCAAAACTGGGTAAATCAAGTGTTTTTTAATGATTTAAGAAAATTGCAAACAAGCTGCTGTCACTGCCTTGGCTGGCCTGGCCCTGGGTGGTTTTGTTGGGGAGGCAGGAGAGGCTCTAGGCTGCTGCAGTCGAGGGGGAGGCGGGGAGGGATGCGCAGGCCTGGCCGGGCCCAGCTCTGCGACACCCTCCACCCCTGACACTGCCTGGAGCTCTGTGCACTGAGTCCAGTCCAGCCCGTGGGGAGGCTGGCAGAGCTGCAGTGAAGACACAGCAAATGCCGGAGACACCAGCTCTGCTCCAGGCACGGTGGTGAGGGCCCCGTGGCCCAGCCCTGTGCGTGGGGTGTGTCTCGAGGTTTTGTGTGGTGGTGAGGCTGTGGGAATGGGCGCCACGCAATCATCTTTCCAGAGCTTTTCTGGGTGTTGAACAAAACTTCCCTGTGATGATGGGAAGGTCCTGCATCTGAGCTGCCCAGCGTGGAAGCCACATGCGGCTGCTGCATGTGGGGAATCTCTGTACGATGGGAACTGGGTTATTAATTTTATTTAACTTCAATTAAACTTATGGCCAGTGGCTTCCAGGCTGGAGAGCACAGGCCCGGAACCTGCCTTGCCCGTGGGCTTTGCCCCTGCTGTCTCCTGCGCACCTCTCTGCTCCCTGCTTGGGTGTGTGAGCCTGAGGGGAGCTCCCAAGTCCCTGCAGGCCACGCTGTGCCATGGGGACCTCGTACCATCTGTATCAACACCGCCCTCTGCTGTGTGCCTGCAGCCTGCCTGCCGGCTGCTGAGCCCCTTCAGAGCGGGTGTGACCCCAGCTTGGTCGTGTCTGGATGTCACAGGCTGCACACAGCTGCTGAATGACTAAATACAAAATAGAGTGAACTTTGCTTATTCAGTAAAACCTCATGTAATGCACCTGTCAGCACTATGCTAAGACCTTTCAAATATCAATCATATTTGGGCATATCTGGGTAGAAATAAAGGTTCACTTCCCAGTAGTGAAATTGGACAATAAGACAATTTACTTGACCTCTCAAAGATAAATTTTCTTCATTTTTAAGAGGTGCCTAATACCAAAATCACAGAGTTGTTCTGAGGGTTAAAATGAGATAAAATGTATGAACCCTGCACTACATTATTGCAAACTTGTAACAAATGCTGGTTAATTTCTTCTTCTGCACCTCTTCCCCTTCAGGAAGGTTTAGGTCCATTTAGGGAACCCATATATTGAAACACAAAATGAGTTAGAAAATGTTAATCACTCATTCATTTATTCAACAAATATTTATTCAGCATCTTGTATGTGTCAAGCGATGTTCCAAGCCCTAGGCCCACACCAGTGGGGAAAACAAAGATCGCTGTCCTCAGTGGCGCACACATGTGACTGGGGAAGACGGGTGATGCGGATTATAAACCAGCGCATCGCACAGTGTGTCTGACTGCTATGGAAAGGAAGGTAGATCTGGCTGGGGTGTTGGAAGTGCTGGGACGAGTGGAGATGTGCTGTAAGGGGTGGGGGTCAGGGCAGGCTTTCCTGAGAAAGCCCAAAGGGAGGTGAGGAGGTGCTGCACAGATGGGGGGGGAACAGCACCCCAGCAGAGGAATCGGCCATTGCTAAGTCACGGAGGCAGGGCACGCCTGCGATGTTGGATGGGAATAAGGAAGGTGGTGTGGCGGGAGTAGGGACAGGTGGTGTGGAGAGAAGGTGGGAGAGGACAGGGCTACTGTGGCCATGGCGAGGTCCCGGTCTCCCCACTGCGGGGTGCAAGAGGAACCATAGAAGGTGTTTAACATCTGTTTTCAAAGGCTTGCTTGGCCCTCCATGGAGAGGCTGTAGCGAGGGCAGGGTGGGTGCAGGAAGCCCTGCTGGAGATGCTTTAATGACCCGGGAGAGAGGAGGCGGTCTCCCCACCTCCCTGCTGGCTCAGTTGCTGTCTGTTGGGTGGGAACGAGGCAGGTGATAGGCACAACTTATGGCGAAAGATTTCAAATGTGTACCAAAGTAGAAAAAATATCCCTGGGGTCCTGCAGGCACCCACACCCAGCAGCGGTGACCATCCCTCTTGGCGTTTCGTGTCCCCTGCATCCTTATTTCCCCGGCTCGGATGATTTTGAAGACAATTCTCCACATGGTGGTAAAGCTAATTCCATGGCTCTGGACCTGACATGGAAGTGGGCTGCCCTCCTGGCAGATGGGATGTGAGGGGAGGAGCAGGCTGGTGGCCGGGGACTGAGGAGACTGAGGCACCACGGGCCATGGGGAGGCTGTGGGGTTGGAGGAGCAGGGGTCTTGCGGGGGACCCGCCTGCCTGGGGCTCGGGGCAACATCCCAGGGGGCAGTGTGCTGGGGGTGATCGGCACCTGGATGCTGTGAAGCCAGGGGCCGGGAGAGGACTGGGGAGGGCGCAGGGAGGGCTCGGGGGCTCTCGGTGGGAAGCCCTGGGGCAGGACTAGCAGAGGAGGAGAAGGGCTGCCTGCCTGTCTGTGCCCAGGCCACTCCACACGGGTTGCTCCGATTGGCATTCCTCACAGCAGATCACAGGGATCCCTGCACATACAGTGTCTATTTCATAAGGAAAAATGCCATATTATGATCAACTACATTCCTGTGATTTCAAGGGAGAGCTGAATTCTCATGTTCAGTGACCATTTATATTTCTTCTTTCCGAATAAGAATGATTCTTACTGAGATATCAGCTTTTCTGTGATTTTTCTCTTTGTGGGAGTAATGGGTCAACCTTTGGCTTAGTGGTGGGGTGACTCAGGCCAGCCCTGCCTCCTCCTCTGCCCCTCCCCACCTCTCCCCACTTCTCTGAGTCGCTGCTTTCCCAGCTTCACAGTAAGGGCACGGGGCTGGGTCATGGCACATCGACCCCACGGGTGACGTGGTGAGTGGATGGGGCCAGCCTTGCGGCCCAGTCTCTGTTGCTCCAGAGCACTGCTCAGCTGGGGGTCTGGCAGCTCTGTAGGTGGGGTGCACATTCTCCTCTGTACCCCATTTCTAGCCAGGGCCTGCCACCTATTTGCTCAATAAGTGTTTTTTTAAATAGACCCAAAGTCTGTTAAGAGCAAATTTTTCTTTTTGAAATTAAAATAATTTTCCCCTTTAAAAAATAAAACTGCAACTTGTGGCAGTGGTATTTCTCCTAAATACTTCATCAGGAAGCCATGCTCCGATTCCCACCCACTTCAGGATCCGTGTGCAGAGTCACCTTTGAGTTCAACCTGAAGGTAGCCCGGAGCAGGAGCATGCCTGTCGCATCACACACATGACAGCACGTGGTCTGAATGTCTCAAGCTTGGATTTGGGAGCCTGGGGAGGGAAGGGCCTCGCTCCCTCCTATGGGTTCTGCATCCCGAGGCCGACCAGCCTGCCTCTCTCATTGCTGGGAAGCAGGGCTGACTCCCCCGGGGAGGGGGCACTGGCCAGGTCTCGAGAAGTCACCCAGCCGACTGACATGGCATCTGAGTCCGTGGGAGGGATGGTCAGTGGGTCTCTCACGGCAAGAACTAGTATTTAATATGCACAAGCTGAGGATCCGCTTCTCTGCGGCGGAGACCCTAATTAGAGAGCCAAGACTCAGGAGCGGGGGCCGCCGACCCGAGGAAACCTCCCTCGCAGAGGCTCGCAAAGGATTTTTCTTAAGTTGGTGACAATTCCAAGTACATGCAGCTTTGCCTTAAGTTTAGAATAAAAATAATTTTGCACCTGAGAAGAGAATTTTCTCCATGTGTTTCTTGCAGCATAGATCAGTGGTCCTCAGACTTTGGTATGAGGACCACCTGGAGCACCTGTTCACACGGTGCAAGGTGCTGAGGCACCAGCCACGGTGAAGGTGGCGGGTCTGGTGAGAAGGGAGAGACTCATGCCTGCCAAGGAGCTTGTACTCTGCCAGGGAGGCTGATGTTGACATCCATAGCAGCACGTCATCAAGGCAAGCACAGGGTGCCGTGGGGAAGGACAGGGTGCTGTGGGTGCATGTCTGCTCCAGCCATGGGCAGCTGGGTGGCCCAGGAAGGCTAGACAAGACTGTCCAGGTAAGTGATGCTCAAAGCCACCTTCAAGCAGGAGAGGGTCTGGCAAGGCAGAGAGGGGGCGAGGCGTGTTTTGGACAGGGGAAGCCGGCAAAGGGGGCATGGCAGGAACCCAGGGTTCATGGGGGCTGTGGGGAGCCTGAGCTGGACAGGCAGGGGAGACCTTGGCGGCCTGCGAGCGTTTCTGCCAAGGAGCCGTGGAAGGCTCTGGAGGTGAGCGCCTCCTGCATGTCTGCCCACCTGTGCCGCGCTGTGACCTCCTCAGGGGGCAGGTGACATGGAGGTGGCTCTCCGACACTCGCACCCAAACGGCCGGCCGTCCTGTCCTGCCTTCTCAGTTCTGGGCTGGAGTTAGAGACCAGTTTTATTTGAGACAAATCACTTTCAGAGGCTGAGACCGTCTTTGCCAATAATTTATTTACCACTGGTCCACTGTTGGATTTATGATTTATAATATTTCACAAGCCAGTAGCATACAGGACTATGTCTCTTAGCAGCCATCAAATAAATAACCCGCAGAACCAACGGGGGGGCAGTCACACCGCTGCTCAGGCAGAGGTGATGCGAAAGAGAGGAAGTCCTGATTAGCAGGGGTGCACCTTTCCACCAGCTGGCTCTCGGTTCTCCCAGTGTGAAGCTGGTAGCAGCTGCCGGCTGAGCCCCTCGCCACTGGGGAATGCCGTTGGCGGGTGCCAGCACCAGCCCGGGCCAGCAAGGGGGCTGCCCACAAGGTCACTACTCTGGTGCCATCCTGGGCCCTGCCCCTGCCCGTGAGGAGCAGCTGGCCATGGCACAGCTGTCCCTTCTCTGTCTGAGATGCCTGCAGACTGGGGGCCTGGCCATGGCAGGAGCAAGTGTCTGGGGACCTTGGGAGACCAGCAGGGAGTAGCCTTGCCTGGACCGAACAGATTCTTGGTATTTTATTTTTAATTGTCTTTTTTTTTTTGTTTTCCTTTCTTCCTTTTTTTCCTTTTTTTCTTGGTTTTGTCTTTTTTTTTTTTTTCTCTTTTTTTTTATTTTTTTTTTATTTTTGTCTTTATCCCCTTGTTTTTTTTTCCCTTTGTTAATCTTTTTCTTTTTTTTAAATTATTTCTTTTTATGTTTTAATTTTTTGTTTTTTAATCTTTTTTTTCTATTTTTTTCTTCTTGGTTTTTTTTGTCTTTTTTCTTTCTTTTGTTGTTTTTCTTTCCTTTGTTTGTTGTTCTTTTTTCTTTTTTTTTTGGTAAATTTTTTTTTTTTCTTTTTTTTTTTTTCCCTCTGTAGTTAGTGGCACAACACCTCACTCTTAAAAATGTCCTGCTTTGGTTGATAAACTCTCAGGCTGATGTATGGGTGGCCCTTCCTCTGGGGAGCCGACCTGACCACGGGGCGGCCGCTGCTCTTGTGCGGAAGACTCACAGGGTCCAGTGTCCTCCATTCTGTTTTCTCCTGGAGGTCAGCAGTTAGCCTTCTGCATCCAGATGGTAAAGGCGACCAGGAAGAAAGGGTGGGAAGGAAAGATGGAGGAGGAGGCAGGCAACGAAATCCAAACATTTAAAAAGCACTGTGGCTTAATTGCATGTCGTTTCTCTGTCCCTGGGCAATTTCACAGTTTTTTTTTTTTTTTACTGCATCTGGTAATGTTTTACTAGGGAATGAAATAAAATTTTTTTTAATTCATGGTTATTTTATCTTTAATTCTTTATTTGTCTAGATTTATTTGCAACAGATGACTTTTTTGCTCCTGCTGAAACCCTCATAAAGGTATTATAACTTGGCATTCGGCAAAGTGAAGTGCGGGTGCGGAGTGATCTAGGCAGCTCTGTTAGTTAAGATCTGGCCGTATGTTTGGGGTGGGCGTCATGCGATGTGCGCCAGTGACTCGGCATGTTAGAAAAGCAGAAGCGTAGAAATAGCATCAGCTCGTGCTAAGACACAGCAGGGGCAGAGGGGCCCTGACGCGGGAATTTGGGACCATATTGGTTTCTGGGGAAATGACTGGGATCCTCATAGGTTGTCACTCTGTGTGACGTGGAGTTCATAATCTGTTGGGAAGAAAACTGGCACACATCTTGAAGTTTCTGGAAATTGTGTTACTTGCCTAATTATAAAAGTGTAGGACATGCTTATTAAAAAAAACAGAAAATACTGGCAAATATAAGGAAGAAATGGAAGCTGTGCTGGCATCCTGCAGAGTGAGTGAGGGTCTCCAGCCTGGAGGGCAGCATGCGGTTCCACCATGGCTACTGGTCAGTCTGGTCAGTGGTGAAATGGTCATTCTTTCTGGCCAGGGTCTGCCAGGTCCAGAGCATGTGGAGTGTGACCCTCTGAGGGCATCTTGCATATATTGACTTACTCCTCACAGAGAGGCTGACTAACTTGTTTGAGGTCACACAGCTAGTAAATGCCAAAGCTCTTGCCATTTTATCATATGTCTATCTTTGTAAAATTTAAGTGCGTATACACTTTGACCTAGCTATTCCACAGACATACATTATTTGCACACGTAGGCAAAGATATGTAGAAAATATTCATTCTCGTGGTGTTTGGAGGGGAAAAAAAAACAATCTAAATGCCCATCGATGAGGGGGCCAGTGAGAGAATTACATGTGGGATACTCCATGGCTGCAACAATGAACTGCCTCAGCACCTGGCAACAGGAGAGGTCTGTGCATGTCCTGTGTGCTTAAAACGTGTTTGGAAGGGTGCACATGGAATTGTGAGGAGCTCCGCTGGGGACACGGGTCGCGGGGAGAATGGGGCCTCATTACTCATAGCGCACTGAGCACACATACACTCTCCACACATATGTACATATATGAGCTCACATGTGTGTATACATACCATGTAGGATATATATGTGTGTATATATACACACATTCTCCATTTTGGAAAAAAAGTATTACAGATAAAAGCCTCTTTCTCCACCAACTGCAAAGCCAGCCAACTCCTTCTCTCTATGGAATTCACAGTTTTGTAAGACGGGCATATTCTTCTAATATATTTTATACTTTCCAATAAATGTGCCCACAACCATATATAGAAAATAGTACTGCCTCTTATTTAAAAACTTGTATCCATATTATCATAAAGTATTTAGCATTCTGCAAACGTGCCTTTCTCGCTGGGTATCTGTGAGCTGATAGCTGGAGGTGGAGGGGGCCCCTTCCCCTGCGGGTCCGTCACTGGCCTTTCCCTCTGTGGGTGCACATCTGGGCGGTTTGCACTTTCAGGCATTGTAAACGTCCTTGAGCGGGTCCGCACACGTGGGTTATTCCTGGGCCTGGCCTCCTGTGTCCTTGGGAACTTGCCGTCACGTGGTGGGTGCCGCATTCCAGACGGTGCTGCTGACCCTGTGCCAGTTGGTAGCGGGCTTCTGCAGGTCCCTGGTGCCTCTCCATATCCATCCTGTTGTCAGGAAGCAGCAGAAACATGTGAAATGACTGTCTGCCACCAAACCTGAGCAAAACAGCAGAAAGCTCGGGGCAGGCGGCCAGGGCTTAAGTGGGAGGGGCCCTTCCCTCCTGGGGGGGTCCAGAGCAGGGCTTCACAGGCCTTTGTTAACAAGGATCGTCTTTAAGATGTGCTTGGATCGGAATGAAATCCAAGTGCTGCCAACTCTGACATCCTGATGCTGCGGACTCAGCCCTGACCATGCGCTGGGTCCTGCTCCCAGCCTCTGACCGCTCGCCGTGGCCTCGGGAGAGCAGGCAGGCTGCGGGGCTGAGCTGAGCCTCAGGGCGGCCTGTGTGACCTCAGCGGCCTCGCTTTTCCCTCAGGGGGCGGGGGCTGTGGAGCAGCTCAGGGTGTGGGGATAACGGGGAGCAGCTGGAGCCCAGCCTCTGGCCTTCTCTTCATGTGACCCTGTGAATAGTTTTTCTGGTTGCTTGGGAAACATACCCCGTCTCGTGGGTTCTGATGGCCCTTGGGATGCAGCCAGGCTGCAGGTGGGAGTGGCGCCATTTGTGGGGCCTGTGGAATTGACTGGCAGTTTTGCCTATTGCTGTCGGTTAATTCTGCACACTGAGGCCCATCAAGATTCTTTCCTGGAGGCCGATAAAAGGGTCAGGAGCCGTGCCCTGATTTGGAGAGGCTTACCTGGGCATCAGGTAGGGGCAGACATCCCCACGCCCTCTAAGGACTCTGTGGAGCCCTGTTTGTTTGGCCCATCAACTGTTCCTTGGGGCAAAAGTTTGCCTGCCAGAAGCCAGCTGTCACGTGAACACTGACCATCAACTTATCACCCTTCTTTGCTTCAAAACGACAGCCTGAGATTTAAAGAACATGAATATACTGAGTTTGGGAAGTGGATGGATGGATGGGAGACGAGAAGGAAGAGGATTCCAGGTAGTAAGGTGCTGGCTGTGTGGCCCCTGAGGGAAGGACAGATGTGCCGGGTTTGTCCCGGGGCCCTGGATGCCCGCCACCCTGCTGTCCTCTGCACACTGCGCTCTGAGGATTCAGGAGGGGCCGTGTGAACCCCGGCCATCTGGGCATCCCCGGGCAACAAGGAGGGTGAGAAACCAGCAGGGAGGAAGTGTTGGTGAGGGCCGTGGGCAAGGCCAAGAGCGGCTCTCCCCGGGCGGCGTGGCCAATGCTAGTTGGGGCGCATTGTGCTTGGTTGCCCCCCAGCATCCTGAGGCCAGGGCTCTGCCTGCACTTAATTGCTGTGGAAACCGGTTATTAACTTGGTGCAGGTCACAGAATGGGTAAGAGCAGCTGGGAGCTGAATGAAGGGCTGGGCTCTGCCGCCGCACACCGTCTTTGTGGCATCTTACACTGTGCCATTCATGAGTCTCCACGTGCACCTTGTGAAGCTGGAGACACGCCCATGGAAGTGAACGAGCCCAGTGCTGGGCTCATAGCTAAGATTTTTCCTCAAGTATTGCAGAGATACTGGATATTCTAATTTTCTGTATTTCTGTGACACTCCAGACATCACGAGATTCTCATACCTCTGCACATTCTAAGGTGGGTCTGTATCTAAGGATCCAAGATCTACACGGTGACATGTGACCTCAAGAGCCCTTAGCTTTAGGGACACAGTGCAGGGCCACCTGGGTGGGGGCACTGCAGGAACCCCCAAAGCTGGAGGTGACAATGAGCGTGGTGCTTCCAGGAGACCCAGGTCTGCGATGAACACCTGCTGAGCTGGGCTGGCTGCTCTCTACGACACAATGCACCCTGCACCCCAGCTTTCTGGGAGGGAATCCCATCTGATTCATGGTTGAAGGAATGAGGCTCAGAGAAAACACACACTGGAAATGATCCATTTGGAATCAGAACCGGGTCTCTGAATCCAAGGCGTACACACATTTTGGTCCGACTAGAACTGGGGATTCCCACGGGGCACGGTGGTTCCGAGCGGCCACATTGAGAGACCCTCACCACTGAGAATGGGCCCCTGCGCATGTCTGTGGTGGGAGGCGCTCCTGTTGTTATTTTCATTTTAGTTTTTTTCAATCACGTGCTTCATCTGCCAAGTTAAATCACATGAGGATATCCCTGTTTACGTCCTGGAGGCCATGACTGGTGCATCGTCAAGCTGGGAATAAAAGGCATCATCCGGGGCTTCGACGTGGACGTTTCTTACTTCAGGGGAGGCTATGCTCCTCGAGTGTCAATTCAAGCAGCAAACTTGGAAGAAGGTGCTTGGGAACTGCTGGCCCCGGAATGAGCACCGCGGGGTCAGGAGGCTCAGGGGCCCTGCCACCCACTTCACTGCCCTGGAGCTCTAGAACTCAGATTCCCAAGAGTGCCCTGTGATTTTTTATTTTTCACTTAGCAGTGTTTGACCCAGCTTAGCCTTTATTACCTCCACACTGTCCGGCCTCACCCAGAAGCACACCCTGGCACCCTGAGGTTTGGTGAGCAGGTTGCTGAGGGGTTGCAGGGAGGATCCAGTCGATGTGGAGCTGGTCTGGGCGGCGGTGGGGCAGTGGTGTCAGCAGCCCCAGTGCGCACGATGCAGCCACTACGGGGTTCTCAGAGGGCTCCTGTCTGCATCTTGGGGTGCTGGACCACATGAATCATTCAGGGCCTACAAGTTGGACCTGTTCTTTTATTTCTTTAATTAGCATAATCTGATGTTGGCCCCAGAATTAACATTTTAGAAATATGCACTATTATGTGTGTATATATACATGCACTTAGGCCAGATAAGTTGGGTCAGTTGGCAAATATACAGAGCAAGTACTGTGTGCGGGGTGCCGTCTGGGGCTCGGTGGACGTGAGTGGGCCCTGGTCCTGGAGGACAGTCGAGGAGCCGGCCACACCCCAGGCTGATAGGTGAGATGTTCCCTTCCAAGAAGGAAGTGGCTGATGACCAAAGAGGCTCTCCCAGCGAGCCCAACAAGTGCTTCCATTTCTGAATCGCCCAAGTGTCAATTCTAAGGATGCCAGCAGGGGAAATAGTATTTCTGGAATTAACCTTGAAATAATCCAAAACTTTATTGATTCGGGGTTGGAGGCCATGACTGGTGCATCGTCAAGCTGGGAATAAAAGGCATCATCCGGGGCTTCGACGTGGACGTTTCTTACTTCAGGGGAGGCTATGCTCCTCGAGTGTCAATTCAAGCAGCAAACTTGGAAGAAGGTGCTTGGGAACTGCTGGCCCCGGAATGAGCACCGCGGGGTCAGGAGGCTCAGGGGCCCTGCCACCCACTTCACTGCCCTGGAGCTCTAGAACTCAGATTCCCAAGAGTGCCCTGTGATTTTTTATTTTTCACTTAGCAGTGTTTGACCCAGCTTAGCCTTTATTACCTCCACACTGTCCGGCCTCACCCAGAAGCACACCCTGGCACCCTGAGGTTTGGTGAGCAGGTTGCTGAGGGGTTGCAGGGAGGATCCAGTCGATGTGGAGCTGGTCTGGGCGGCGGTGGGGCAGTGGTGTCAGCAGCCCCAGTGCGCACGATGCAGCCACTACGGGGTTCTCAGAGGGCTCCTGTCTGCATCTTGGGGTGCTGGACCACATGAATCATTCAGGGCCTACAAGTTGGACCTGTTCTTTTATTTCTTTAATTAGCATAATCTGATGTTGGCCCCAGAATTAACATTTTAGAAATATGCACTATTATGTGTGTATATATACATGCACTTAGGCCAGATAAGTTGGGTCAGTTGGCAAATATACAGAGCAAGTACTGTGTGCGGGGTGCCGTCTGGGGCTCGGTGGACGTGAGTGGGCCCTGGTCCTGGAGGACAGTCGAGGAGCCGGCCACACCCCAGGCTGATAGGTGAGATGTTCCCTTCCAAGCAGGAAGTGGCTGATGACCAAAGAGGCTCTCCCAGCGAGCCCAACAAGTGCTTCCATTTCTGAATCGCCCAAGTGTCAATTCTAAGGATGCCAGCAGGGGAAATAGTATTTCTGGAATTAACCTTGAAATAATCCAAAACTTTATTGATTCGGGGTTTGAAAACTCTAGTCTTGTGATAAGTTTGTTGAAGTCTGACTTAACTGGAAACAGCCATTTACTATTTTGACAAGCAAATGTACTACCAAATGCATCCATTATTTCTAGAAATTACCATGTTTTAAACACTGAGGAACTTCAGCAAGTGTGTCTGTTACTTTGATCATCTGATACTTTGACTTAAGAAGAGGCACCTTTAGTGTTGTTTGGCAGAAGGAACATCACCATACACCTCGCTGAGGGAGTAGGTGCTCTTCGACTTGGAACCCTGGCCCTGTGATCACTCCGCCAACAAGCAACCAGAAATTCCACAGAGAGGAGTCAGGACCGGAGCTGCCGCCACCCCTAAGGAGTTTGCAGCGATTTCCGAGGTGTGCCTCCAAAACAAAGGGGTCTTGTCATGGATTGTTAGGACAGCAGAGCAAGGGAACCACTCGGGGTGCCTGGCCTGGAAGCGGCTCTCTGGGGCGCTCAGCCCCAGCGTACCCTGCAGCTGTTTCTGAGTGGCTTGTCACCCCTGAGCGTGGGACGCCACGGCCGCGTGAGGTCTCTGGGAGGCCTCTCGGGACGGGCTGCCTACTGGCGTTCCTCTGCAGAGCGCTGCCCCTGAGGAGGTAAATACAGAAGTCGGCAGAGTTTAAGTACCTTTTATAGCGATTTGACAAAGTCACCTTATGTCTGATGAATTTAATAAAATAATTTGGGCCCGTGTTTTGGTACATTCTTAAATTTTTTAGAGTTGATTTGCCTAGTAATTGATTTATATTGCATTTTACAAAATGTTGGTCTGTAACAGTCCGGGAAACAACAGCAACGGCAAAGAGGCCCTTCAGTTTGAGAAGCGCGGAGCTAGAGAGAACTGTTGCCAGGTTCAGGCCGACCAGTCCCCCTGTGTCTCCTGTCCCGTGGGAGTACCCCGGCTTCTACCTGCGTGTTCCCCTCACCGTTCTCGTTGCTTCTTTCTGAGAATCCTCAAAGGGAATGCACGCGGAGCATCTTGGATCTTGTCCTTCATTCCCCACCACCACCCAGGGCCTATTTTGATCAGAGTGGGAAAAACCCAGGACTCTACTCTGTTTATTAAAGCTGGGACTTGATCTTTATTAGTATCTCTATTGAAAGAGTTCATTAGGCATCCATCATTAATTTTTATTCCAAAGTATCTCTATCCTGTAAGCCCCACACAGGCCCTGGGATGAGAGAATTTATTGTTCCCTAGAGCCATTTCTAACATTTTTATATTTATTGTTTGCTAAAGTCCATCGACTGGAATTACTTGGTTCCCATGACAGAGCTTAAACCAGGAGTACCTGCTTCTGGCCACAATTATTTTCCTGTCAATTCCCAGCAGACATGGACTCACGTAAGACTCAACATTTTCCCAGGTAAATATGATGCGGACGCATCTCCAGCTCTACAGCTTCTTTGCTTGAGGCCGACATGTTTAAAAATACAAACAAAATTGCCCTTTCACCCTTGGTCACTGATCTCTCTAGCATTTAGGATGATTTTCCCTTTTCGTGCTCTAGGAAATTCTTGTTTGAACCCACCCATCTGTAGGTAGTTATCGAAACCTATCAAGTAAATTAGGATATGATGCAACCAAGTTGTGTTAGGTTAGATACCTCCTAACAATTTCTATTTCACCAGGTATATCCGCAGTTGAAGTGGGATGTACACATGACTCTCATTTTATCAGCTTTATTGTACTGTAATTCACATAATGTGCAATTCAGCCATTTGAAGTGTACAGCTCAATCATTTATGGAATATAAACTATATATAAGTATATATATTAAATGTAAGCATATGGTTTAAAGTCTACATAAGGATATAGTCTGTGTGCAGCCATGACCACAGTCAGAACATTTTTACCACCTTCAAAAGGTCTTGAACCCTGGAGGGATCACCATCTCCTCTGGCCCTTTGCACATGCTAATGTGTGCTCTGTCGTGGTAGGTCCGACTATTCTGGACATTTCTTCAAGTCCTCTTACATGTCTTTCACTTCACTGGCTCCTTCCACTCAGTATGTTTTCAAGGCTCATGCAGGCGGCAGTGTGTGCTGGCACTCCATCCCATTCTGTGGGCGAGCGGCCCGCCATGGTGCGGGTAGATCACGTCGTTTATCCATCCTACAGCTGATGGGCACTTGGGTTGTTTCCACCTGTTGGCTACTTAGGAATAATGCTGCCGTAAACACCCCTGGATGAGTTTTTGTGCGGATATGTTTCCATTTGGGTATATCCCTAGGAATGGAATTGCTGAGTCATATGATAGTTTTTAATTGTCTCAGGAAATACTAGACTATTTTTCAAAATGGCTACACCATTTTACATTCCTACCTGCAGCGTATGAAGGTTCCAATTTCTCCACAGCCTCAACACCTGTTGTCACCCGACTTTCCGGTCGCAGCCGTCGTAGAAGGCGCGGGGTGGTATCTCGCAGTGGGTCTGATTTGTTTCCCTGATGACCGAAGATGATGACCATCTTTTCCATTGCTTACTTGGCCATTTCCATGTTTTCTGTAGGAAAATGTCTATTCAGATCTTTTGCCCGTTCTTAAATTGAATTTTTTGTCTATATTATTATTGAGTTGTAAGAGTTCTTTGTATATTATAGATATAAATCTTTTGTCAGATATACGATTTGCAAATATATCCTCCCATTCTGCGGGATGCCTGTTTACTCCCTGATAGTGTCTGTTGCAGCACATCGGTTCTTGATTTTGAAGTTCATCTATGTGCTTTTCTTTTGTTGCTCATGCTTTTAGAAGTTTTGGAAATACCTAGGAAATGACTGTTATATATAGGACTGTGAAAAAAAATCATCCATATGTTTTCTTCTAAGGGTGTCATTATTGTAGCTCTTATATTTTGGGTCTTGATCAATTCTGGGATCATTTTTGTACATGGTGTGAGGTAAGGATTCAGCTTTGTTTTGCATGTGGATATCCGTTATCCAAGAACCACTTGTTGAAAACACTCTTCCTTCCCAGATGAATGACTTTGGCACACTCATCAAAAATTGATTGGCCCATTGACACATGGGTTTTTTTCTGGACTCTCAATTCTAAGTGTCTATCCTTATGCCAGTCCCACACTGTCATGATTAGCTTTACTTTGTAGTGAGTTCTGAAATCAGAAAACAAATGAGTCTTCCAAATTTGTTTTTTTCAAGTTTTTTCGGTTATTTGTAATCGTTTACACTTCTATATACAATTCTATATTTTTTAATCAGCTTGTAAATTTCTACAAAGAGGCCGGTTGGGATTTTGATAGAGATTGCACTGAATGTGTAGATAAATTTGGTGAATATTGCCATCTTAACAATATTGTTTTGCAACCCATGACCCTGGGATATTTTTCCATTTGTTCACATCTCCTTTAATTTCAACAGTATTTTATAATTTTAAGAGTATACATTTCACACATTTTAGTTAAATTAATTCCTACACCTTTTATTCTTTTTGGTACTACTGTAAATGGAATTGTTTTCTTAATTTCATTTTTAGATTGCTGATATTAGTGCAGAGAAATACAATTGAGTTTCAAATATTAATCTTGATCCCTAAAGCTTTGCTGAACTTGTTTATTAGTATTAGCTGATTTTTAGTGAAATTCTTAGCATTTCTATATAAAGATCATAAAATCTGTGAATACAGTTTTACTTCTTCCTTTCCCGTCTGGATTCTTTCTATCCACCCATCCATCCATCTGTCCATCCGTTCGTCCATCCTACCTACTCTGGCCAGAATCTCCGGTACAATGTTGAACAGAAGTGGCGATAACAGAATCCTCGTCTTGTTCCCGATCTTGGAGGGAAAGCATCCAGTCTTTCATCGCTGTCTTATGTCACCTGCAGGTTTTGTAGATGACCTTTATCATGTTAGTAACTTCCCTTCTATTCCTCATTTGTTGAGTATGTTTGTCATGAAATGGTGTTGGATTTTGTTAAATTCTTTTTCTTTAGGGGATGATCAGTAGTTTAATGAAATGTCATTTCTCCTGCTGGTACAGTGTATTAGATTTTCTTGATGTTAAACTTGCATTCCTGGGTCCTACTTGGCAATGGCATATAATTTTTAAAAAACATGTGGCTGGATTTGTTTTGCTGGTGTTTTGTTGAGGATTTTCAGTCCAAATTCATGAGATATTTACCTATAATTTTCGTTTCTTGTGATATCTTTGTCTGGTAGCACTGGTCTCATTGGAATGAGTTGGGAAGTGTTTCCTCTTCTAATTTTTTGGAAAGTTTGTGAAGAATTGGTATTAAATTATTTTTTGTTTACTAATTCAATCTATTTACTTGACATACACTTATTCAGATTGTTTCTTTTTGAGTCAGCTTTGGTAGTGTGTAAGACTGCAAATTTGTCCATTTCATCTAGGTTATATAATTTATTGGTATATAATTGTCTTTTAAATAATCCCTTTTATTTTTTTAAGGTCAGTAGAATGTACTATCTTACATTTGTGGTTTTAATAATTTGAGTCTTTTCTTTTTCTTGGTACGTCCACTTATAGGTTTGTTAATTTTGTTCTTTACAAAGAGTCAGATATGCTCCATTTCATTAATTTCCATTCTAATCTTTATCATTTCTTCCTTCTGCTTTAGGTTTTGCTTTCTTTTTTTCTCCCCAGTGTCCTAAGGTGAAGGTTCTTATTTTTTAATATTGGCCTTTACAGATATAAATTTCCTTTTAAGCACTGCTTACCACATACCATAGATTCGATACATTGTGTCTTCACTTTCATTTATCTCTATTTGCTATTTTACTTTTTCATCCTTTGACCCCCATGGTTAGAGTGTGTTTAATTTTCACATATTTGTGAGTTTCCTAAATTTCTTCCTCATTTTTAATTTCATTCCTTCATTTTTGGTGAGCATACTTTGTATTATTTTAGTCCATTTATTTTATGACCTCATATGACCTATCCCAGAGAATGTTCCATACGCACTTGAGAAAAAACATATATTCTGCTGTTGTTGGGTGGCATGTTCTGTAAGTCAACTAGGTATAGCTGGTTTATTGCACTGTTTGAGTCTTTTTTTTCCTTATTGATCTTTTGTCTAATTCTGTCCATTATTGAAAGTGGAGTATTGAAGTCTCCAACTGTTATTGTTTTCTATTTCTTCTTTCATTTGTTTTTCCTTTACGTATTTTGGTGTTATGTTATTAAGTGCATATATATTTATCATTATTATGTCTTCCTGATGGATTAACACTTTATTATAAAATGACCCATTTCATTTCTAGCAACATTTTTCATTTTAAAGTCTATTTTGTCTGTTAACAGTAGAGACATTCTAGCTTGTTCATTGTTGCTGTTTACATGATACATTATTTTCCATCCTATGACTATTAATAGATTTGTATCTTTGAATACATAGTGTGTCTCCTGTAGGCAGCATATAGTTACATCTTGTTTTTTCATCTGGTTGGACTATTCTGCCTTTTAATTGCTTAATGTGTTCATGTTTGTTGTTGATGTAGTTGGGTTTACATCTACTATTTTATCTTTTATTTTCTACATATCTCACCTGTATTTTTGTTCCTCTTCCTTTACTTTTCTTTTGATTTAATTGAATATTTTATAAGTAGCATTTTAATTTCTCAAATTTTTTCACTATTTTTATTTCCTTTCAGAAACATTACTCTTATATAGCTCCATTTCCTTTTCTCCCTTCTGGTGGCATTATTGTTATACAAAGAACATCTACACATGTTACAAATGTTACAATGTACAATACATTGTTACAATTATTTATATAACTTTGTCTTCTAGAGAAGCTGAGAGAAGGAAGGGGAGCAAGCACATATTTATATTTATTTAAGGTTTGTTACAGTAACCTTCCTATTAATCATTTCTGGCTTTATTTGTTCCTGTGGATTTATGATATGTAGTCATTTCCTTAGCCCAGTACAGCTGTGCCCCCAACCTTCTTTGTGTTGTTACTGGTAAATATATTACACATAGATTACATTTCTACCTGCTAGAGCCCAACAATATTACACTACATACATATTATTTTATATTACTGATTTTTACATCACTTAAAAGAAGGGAGAGGACGCATCTTGTCTCCTCTAACAGTTATGCAATCACCTTCGAAGGAGCCCTTTGCGTCTCCGGGTCTAGCTGCGGGCTGTGTTATTTCAGGGGAGCCCACTGCACCTACACAGCGGGAAGCTTCCGATGCAGCCCCTCAGGGAGGCCCAGCCTGGGGTGCGGCCCTGCGATGCGGTTTTGGGGGGGCTCTGTCTCTTTAGGTCCTTCTGTCGCTATCTGATGGCTCTATTTTTTCAACGATGCCCTGGGCTTACAATCGTCCACCTACCAATCTAATTAAATCTGAGTTTCTCTGAGATGATAGTTTTTGAGGTCACTGTTGAGATTTGTTCTGGTCCCAGAAGGGCTTCTCTGAGCTCTTTCCCTCTCCCTTCCAGCACATTCTCTGGCCCACAGGTTACGCTGCAGGTTCATGTTTTATTTATATCTCTGTAGACTCTACCACACTCCTCTTGACAGCTTTTCACCACGGCCTCTGCTGTTTCTGCGAGCACCTTCAGGCTCGGACCTCTCCCTACTCGACCGCACGTGAAGTCAGTGTGTGGGGAAGAGTATGGGCTCTCTCTCCTAGGACCCCCCTCTTCCCCATGGCTCCTTGAGGCCTGGCCCCGGGCACTGGGGGCGGGGCCGTGGCCCACCCGCGTCCAAGGGGCAGCCCTGTTCAGTGGCTGGGTGCTCCATGGAGGGGCCGTGGCCCCGGGTTCTCTTGGCCGGCCTCTCTCAGTGTGGAGCTTCTGTTTGTGAGCTGGCACTGGTGATGTGGGCCCCCAGCATTGCTGTGGGACCATGTGCAGTTGAGCCCCCTCTCCTGAGCTGGGCCTGGATGGAAGGAAGGGCCACCTCTTCTTGACCCTGCTCACTTGAGATGTAGCCTCAGCCACAGGCAGACGGGGCAGAAGGGGAAATGTTGATGTTCCGCCCCTGCCACGAAGAAAGCCCCCCAGCTAGGGGTGGGGGGCGAGGGGGCCCTGTGTTGGTGACCGCACCCATCTGCTCTGGAGTCCCCACCTCACTGAAGTGGGAGGCAGCAAGGGCGTGACCTGGTTCAAATACCACAGATGCCCACTGTGCTCAGCGCAGCTTTGTGGACGTTCTTGAATTGACGTTGCCTCATTTGCTGCCTGCCCTGAGGACTGTTCCCAGAGACTTTAAGTGGTTGTTGTTTTCCTAATGTAACCAGCTTCTCTGGGGACTGGGTGGGCAGAAACTCCTCAGGCTTGACGCCAGAGTGGATCTCCTGACCCTCATTTTAGATGCAGTGTATTTCTGGTTATCATGCTTTAAAGTAAGACACAACATGTGAGGACCTAAATACCTGCGTGCTGACATTGATGGCTCCTGGAAGCCATCGTTCTAGAACCAGTGGAGGCAACTGACTGGGCAGAGCCGGCGGGAGAGATTCAAGCCCTTTCCCATCACCAATTCCACAAACACTTACGTGGTGCCTGTCTTGAGCTAGGGGCCGAGCACCGGCCATATAACCATTTCCCAGATGGGGAGTGGGGCAGAGCTAACGGAGCGTGAGCCCCGTGAGTGGGGGTCATGTGTCTGGGTTGTCATTTTTGCACACCTGGTGCCTGGCACAGCCTGGGCAACAGAGTAGATGCTCAGCAAACTTTTTTTTTTTAGATTGAATTGACAGAGTTCTTGTCCTTCTGAAGTGAAACAACCCAGGTGGGGAGACAGAAAGAAAGAAAGATTACTGCAAAACAGTGACTTTATAACAACCATATTTAGGTAGAGTCCTAAGAAATTTCTTTCTGGCAATTTTTGATCTACCAAAATAGCAACCTTATACATTGACCCTAAAGTGCAGACAGCTCAGGAGTCCAGAGAGTTTCTAAAAATGTGTCCTGGTGGAAGCCCTGCTTTGTGGGATTGGATCTTGAGGTTCCTTGCACGCATTAAAGCTCTTTTTAAATCGGTCAGCAGCACCGGATGGAAGGTGAGGTGCAGATGCTGTCTGTGTGCAGATGTCTCCTCCCCATGGCCAGCAGTGTCTTTAACTACGTCATGAAGACTCCGCCAGGGACCCAGTGTGAAAGGGAAGGAAGCGGTAGGAGAATATGATGGGGTGCACTGGGTGGGGATGGGGATGCTTTAAATGAGACGCCCTAGACCATGGTGACCGTGGTGAGACATTTCTAATAAGCCTTGAGAGTTGGGGTCAAAGGTGAGTCTGGCTAGTAACTGTAGAGAAGACCTTATTTTTAAAATGTTAAGATCGGCTTTGCATCCTCCGCACCATGAAAGCATCTCATCACGTTCACTGAGCTAGAACAGGGGTTCTCAGGGTCCCGCTCCTGCCGAATCCCTCCCACTAGTACATTTCCTAGGGTTTTATGGCAACACAGTCCAGTTTATCTATTGTAAATATCAAGACTTTTACTGTTCTACTAAAATTTTTTCAGATCGCTCAGTTTCACTGGTTTTCATATATATAGGGCTTGGGTTCAGTAGAATACTTTGATTAACAATTTTGAGCTTCTATATAAAGCAAGCTTAGCTTCCTGTTCAATATTCAAGGAAGTAATATTCAAACAAATAAAATGTTCACTTTATTAGAATCAGGTGAGGGAGTCTAGCCTGGTAGCTATTTTCTGCTCTGTAGACCTATTCTTGGGCCGCTGTGGTTCTCAGCAGCTATTTGGTTTTGTGAATATTATCTTTTGTATCCTCAATTGCATTGCTAAAGCAACATGTTATTATAAAAATAAAAATGTAAGGCTCTTGTATCTATGTGGATTTAGCAATGCTAATTTCTGGCGCCAAACATTGTGTCTGTGGTGAATTTCCCAATTGCGTTTTGACCCTCCTGGAGTCATTAATTCAATAAAAAACGTGAGCTCCTACTGTGTGCTGGCTCTAGGTGGGGATGATACAGAAGTGAATAAGATGGGCAGTTGGTCTGGCCTTCAAAGACTGTGTATTCTGGTTTTGGGAGACTGATATTAGCAGGAGCTTAAGCAAAGAGAAAAACAGGATACTCTGACAGTGTGATTAGAGCAATGCAGTAAATATGCCAGAAGAGGTGATAAACTTAACCTGGGGAGTCCCGCAGGGGCCAGGGGGAGTGGGAAGGAGGTAACTTCAGAGAGCAAGAGGAAAAGCCTTTCTGAGGCCATAGCACTTAAATTGAGACTGAAGAACAGCACGTGGTTGTTTGGAGAGCTGGAGGAGTTGTTCCTGTACAGGGGCGCGGCAAGTGCAAAGGCCTGGGGCAGTGCCTGTGTGTGTTTGAGAAACAGAGTAGGCAGGGTTGGATGGCTTTGTCATTTATGATCTCCAAACAGCTACTTTTCTGAGGAAGAAGTAACCAAGGCTTCTTTCTTTTGAGATGGTAGAATTGCACGTCTCAGAGTGTCCGTCCCAGGACAGAGAGACTGGACCACAACCGACCCCAGAGAACCCCTGGACCTAGTGACCGCTGCTTATGGGGGTGCCTGTGTAGGGTTTAGCGATGCACATTTTGGGCACGCAAATAATGCTGCTGGGAGCCGGCTTTTCTCTGGGACTCTAGGCACCAGCTCTAAACACCCCAAGATGGTGTGAAAGATTTAAGAGGCAGGGCCCATCTCAAAGCAGGCGAGTGGAGGAGAGCAATCATCCACTGATAGGATTTGATGCCTTTTGATTTGATGAAGTAAAACAAGAGAATTTTCCTTCCTAATTTTGGTTTCAGCAGTTGGTATAAAAGGCAAAGTAGAACTTACTAACCCATGGTTGTGCGTGAATTTACAGAATCATTCATGAAAATACTTTATGTCATAATATACAGGTGCGTGGGGCCTGTATTTAATCATGCCAATGAGTTCATTCTCACAGTTAAAATAAAATCATGTGATACCCTGTTCAACGGTGTTATTTTCGGTAGGAGTTGGTGAGGCAAAGTCTAGAGCAGATGGTTGGGAACCTGCAAGGAGGCTGGACAGGCCACCAACAGTAGAGGTAAGATGTAGACAATAACCAGGGTTTTAAATTTTCTAAAAAGTGAATTTTTTTTTTTTCATTTTACATCAAGGAAATTCTTATTTTGGGAACCTCCTAGGCATTGTTCTAAAATGCTGGTTCTTCAGCTGGACTATCCCAGTGTTTCTTCGATAAAGAAACAAAGGGTCCAGTAACTTAATGATATAAACCCATGAATAAGTTTGTGGGTTGATCTAGGAAAATACACCAGTTTAATCATTTTTAGTATCTTTGTATCTCTGGACGAGACCACTTATGTGAGCCTGAGGCAGGCAGGGGGTTCTAGAGACGGCCCAGCAGTCCACGATGGCCGGTATCTGACCTGAGACAAGGAAGGCAAACGAAATGAAACACCTTCCAATTTGTTCATCCCTCTGAAAACTCGGTCGTAAACACCCCTTTCCTGGGTCGGCTTTCATGCCACTTGCTGCTTCCAGATATAAATGAATAAACTCTCCTGTCTGGAAATTAAGGTTTGGAGGCAGAGCATACCTGGCTGTCCATTTGACCAAGAATATATCTACTTTGAAAGGTAAAAAAAAACAAAAACTGGTCAGTGAACCTATGGGCGGGGTTAGACGAAGATCCTTCTGTGTCTAGCATTCTACATGAATTTGTAATTAGCACAGAAAATCATATCAGAAATTTATAAAAATGTACTAATTACCCGTTAAACTCATGAGTTGGCACAAGGCATTTTCAGAGGCAATTTACACATCAGGTTATAGGAATTTACATATTAGTTTACGGGAGGCCCTCTTAGAGCAAGAAATAAAAGAAGTAACATAAAAGCATGTCCACCTTCTTTCACCTGCTGGTTTTCTGGGTCAGATCCTTGGGTGACTCCAAGTCGGCTTTCCTTTTTTACCTTTCCTGCTTCTTTTCCTGCATCCCAGAAAGATGAGAATGGCCTTCTCCTTGTCCCGGGCTGTGAATGGGCAGTTTTCTGACTGGCACATCCTGGAGTATAACTCAAATTGAAGTCAAGACAAAATATTTTAAAGGTAAAAAAGTAAAGCTATAGGGAAATGCGCTGACATCAGTGTGTGGGTTGTAAAGGTGCTGGGGCGCCTCGGGGCTGGGCTCAGGGCAGCGGGCTCTGGACTTGGCTTTTCTCCCTGCAGCCTGTGCAGTTCTGAGCAAGTGACCTTAACTCCTGGTAGGCTAGTCCACCTATAAAATGTCAGCCTTGAACTGGATGACCCCCAAGAAGTCATATGGATTCTGTGATGCTGTGAGGCTCTTTCTTATAGGAGCCGCACGTCCTCTTTGGAGAGAGCCTGTGAGACAGTCCCTGGTTAGCTCACGAGAGCAGCAGGACAGGGCACCTTCTGACAGGGAGGGGCCCGGGCAGACTGGCTGTGGGGGAGGGAGGCTGGCCGCTGCTTTTCAGGCTGTGCATTTAAGGCAGGAAGCTCCATATTTTTATGCACTTCCGTTAGTAAAAAAATATTTGGACAAGCACCCCTCATCTAGTTCTATTTTCTTTTGAAATATATGTGTGTCTGTGGAGAAGGTTCAAGAAAGGTTATTAAACTTTTTAAATTATTAGGTGAAATTTTGATAAAGTATCTCAAGGTAGTTTCAGCTGGCTCTGAATAAATGGTGGCAGTGCATATTTGTATTTTGGATGTCTGATTTTTAACTGTCCTGTGAGTAATTATGACTTCACTCAATCATTAACTATTACATCAAGGCACAATACATATGTAAGGGAAAGTTTTTCTCTAATGGCAGTGGGTGTAAGTTAATTATTCCAAGAAGTCTTGATACCCGACTGTTTTGGAAGGCCTGTCTTACATCTGCCGAGCTGGTCCTAGTCTCCAGTCTTCAGCGTGGCTGAGGGCATGCTCGTTCCGGAGGTCAGGGGCAGGGGCAGCTCTGCTCTTTTCTTATTGTCTCGGATGCTTGCATTTCCAGCACTATCTTGGTTCTCAGCGTGAATAGTTTAAAATCACTTGTTTATATTTTGTGAGGGGCAGTTTAGTTAAAACCAGGAAACAACAAGTAAACCAGATAACCAGGGACCCCACCCTGCAGAACACCATTAATATATTGCTGTTAGCCCCTTAGGACATCTCCGTGGGAATCGGAGAGCATGCCGGTGTCCAGCCCACATATCAAATACAGGAAGCCTCCATATATACACAATGCATATACATTAGTATAATGTATGTATAAAAGAGACAGAACTCGTAGCTCTGATGTTCTCCTGCATCCTTTGGGTTTCCATGGGTGCCCAGGTGGGTGCTCACCCTCCCTGGAGACACCTGTTTTAGGAGATGAGCCACAGGGGGCATGAGAGCAGAGCAAAGCCTCTTCCTTCAGGTTCCCATCAGCCGCCCCTCCTCACGATCTTAGGGTCTTGGGGAGCCTCACAAAGTGGGGGACTCTTCCACCAAGTTCCTCTGACCCCACTGGGCACACGATTCCGGTGAAGCTCCTGAGAACAGAAGCTCAGGGCCATATGTATCTCACGCAGGGAATCCTCGGCAGTCTCGGTGCTGAGCAGGGCTCACTGAGCCTTGTACTTCTTTTTACCATCATGTTACAAAATATGATACCATATGGAAAACATTTTCCAGGTTCATAATAATTTCAGATGAGCCATAGAGCGGTATGTAAGTCATCAAATCTGCAATCTAGGAAGCTTATCAAATATATTCAACTTTTAAAGTAAAATGCCTTCCATTCAAACTCAAATATGCCAGCCCGTTAACATGTTAGGCTGTTTCTGACTTTGCTGAAAAACACCTATTTCATGAGACAGTCCAACTCCATTACAAAGCCGCAAGCTCCTTCTCCCTCACACATCATACCTTTATTTTGTTTAGAGAGAACCATGGTTTGTCCTTTGCTGGGTTTTTGATTCATTAAAAAAGTCTGATACCCTATAAACAGAACTGCTGTGTGCAAACGGAGTGGAGAAAGTCACTCCTCTCCAACAGGCAATTCCCCTGACAGCTGTAAGCTGGGTGGCTGTGCTTGCCGACTCAGGAGGAAGGAGACGCGATCAGGCAGAAGGGGGACCTTCCTGGCCCTAAGTGGAAACCCCTTCCTCCAGTCACGAAGGTATGGCATGCTTCCAGAACAGTGCCGGCCCTCAAGCGGGGCTGCTTCACGCTGATTCACTTCCCAAGGGTTATGATACAACGCCTGAATTTCCGCTCAGTTTAACAGTAAAATGAATGAGTTTTTAAAAACCCTATTTGTGCAGTTAATATAATAAAAAGGCTCTATGTTTTCATACTTGCGCATTTCTAACAACCAACTTTTAAGCCATCATGTGCAAAGAATATATATATGGAAAATGTGTCTGCATTGCATTAACTTTTAAAAGGGGTGCTGAGCGTGTTTAAAGCTGTAACAGACACTAAGGAGTTCCAGAGTGTTTCCTTCCATCAAGCAGGAGGGAAGCCATCCATAGGTCGGAGCTGGGTGTGAGGGCTGCTCCCACGTCAGGACGGGTCGTGGTTCCTGGGAAACACCAGCATGCCCACTTCTTTGTTCCTTTTTCTTAGTTTGTCTACTTAATTAACTACTGAAAACCATGAACATTTCAGGGTTGCTCTGAGTATTCATGTGACTATAATTTGGGGGTCTTCTCCTACTGGCAGGTCTCCACGGTAAGCCGAATCACAGCCACTGACTGACTCACTCTTCGGGGCTCCTGTGTCCAAGCTGGTGGGGTGTGCAGGGCGAGCCAGCACCCCTGGGCCATGGCACCGCATCACCACAGGGGCTGCTGCGTCTGCCCCCTTTCAGCCCTCCCCCAGCGATGGCCACCCTGCAGCCCCAGGACGTGGCCACTCACGTGGGGCTCACCATCGTGCCCCACGGGGGCGTGAGCTGCCTCCTGCTCAGGGGCTTCCCCAGCCCCACCTGCCTCCTGCGCCCCCAGGGGAAGCCGATGACGAGGTTCTCAGTTAAAGAGGGGTTCAGGGCCAACCTTTGACCCACACACATCCGAGTGTCAGCTATATAATGACTCAGTTGTTGTGTCTGAACCTTAGGGAGTTTCCAGCAACTAATCTCCGTAAGGCTGACGTGATTCCTGGAGATTGAATAAAGCGGCTGCTCTGGCACGTTGTGGCTGTGAGGTGCCTAGCAGTTTGGAATTGGCTGCGGCTGTGAATGGCGGGTGGCCACTTAAGGGTTACTTTTTAAAACACTACGAGATTCTGATATTATAGTATCAATCTGTCCTTAACCTATGCAGATTCAGCAGGTAGCATAATCTATTGTCTTTAAAAGTTTAAGCCCATCAAGACGGTTAGAAAAATGTATTTCTAGAATCATTCATTGTCCAAGCTCAAGAGCACTGGCCCATCTGTCCCAGAACAGGGAGTGCGCTTCCCAAGGACATGCACCCCCTTAAGTTGCCCTCGCCCCACACAAGGTGCATTCATTCCAGTTCAGCCTTTGAGATACCAACCCGACCCAGTTTCTCACATGCCCTGAACGGTTTCAGACAATCTCTACTTGATGCAGTTTTGATTGTCAGGGTCCCAACGCCCCTCACCCCAATCTCCCTGCCTCTTCTGCACAGGAGGCTGGTGCGCATAGTGGGAGGGGACGAGGGTGGACGCCTGGCGGATCCTCAGCCCCCTCCCGTCCCTACCACGTTGGTTGGCAGGAGACCCCGGCTCCCTTCCCTTTCCTGTGTTCCCACCCTCCCCTCTCTAGCCTCTCTGCCTCCCTCCCCTGTCCAGCCAGGCTCTCCGTTGAGGTCTCCTCACCTGTCCAGGCTCTGCCCCTCCCCTGGCCGCAGGGTGGTCACAATCGCGCGCGTCAGTGTGGGTGGGAGCGCCGTCCTGCGCCCTGGCTGCCCGGCGGCTCCGGCGCGGAGCTGTGGCCGTGCCCGCGGACGGCTGGGTCCGTGTGTCCCCCACGGGGCCATGGGCACGCGTGGGCCCTGCGCGCTGGTGGACACCACACCTGCCAAGACCATCCTGGTGTACCGCAACGGGGACCAGTTCTCCGTGGGCCGCAAGTTCGTGCTGCCGCAGCGCGGCGTGGCCACATTCGAGGCGCTGCTGGAGCAGCTGACGGAGCGCGTGGAGGTGCCCTTCGGCGTGCGGCGCCTGTACACGCCGACGCACGGGAGCCAGGTGTGCGAGCTGCCCGCGCTGCAGGCCGGCGGCAAGTACGTGGCGGCGGGCCGCGAGCCCTTCAAGAAGCTCGAGTGAGTGCGGCCGCCCAGCCCGCCTCCCCGCCTGCCCCCACCCACCGGGACCCCGCGCCTGTCCTTCCTGCCCAGCCCTGCCCTCCTGCGTGTGCACCTGTGCGCAAAGCTGCCCTGTCGGGGCCGCCTTCCGCAGGGTTAGGGAAGGTGAGGCGGCCAGGGGGAGAGCAGCAGGCAGGGGCAGTCAGGTAGGGTCCTCAGGGAAACCCGCGGCTTACGGAAGAAAGGGGGTTGGCATGCGCAGGAAAACTGGGGGGTGCGCTGGCAGGCAAGGCTCAGATGGGGTGGCGGGGGAGGGGAACTGCTGTGCTGGCCCCAGCCCGGCACCCTTCAAGGAGCACACGTAGCAGGTGCAGTCGGGTCACTTCACCACTGCCCCTCCTGTTAGAGGATGGCCCCAAAGAGCTCGGGCGTCCCACCTGCTTTTCTCCAGCCCTGGCACCCAGGGCAGGCCTACAATGCAGACCGTGCCCGCTGGCCTGCGGGTACAGGGAGTATGCTCCAGGGTCTGCTGTGGTCAGGACTGCAGCCCCAGGGAGAGTCAGCCTCCTGGGGAGTGCCTGTGCATCAGTGCCAGGGCCACTGCATGGCCAAACCCTAGTGCGAGTGGGTATCCCACATTCGGCTCGTCAGGGTGCGGGAGGGTGCCCACTCAAATTGTCAATTTCTGTGTTGTTTAGTCTGGGATGGCTCCCAATCCCTTTGAGATCTTACTGCATATGGGGCCATACCACACCGTTCTGTTTATACTCCTCCCGTAATCTCCGGTTAATATTTCCAACTTTCTTGGTAGCTCACATTATACAAATGTCTTTGAACCCTGAGCATGGATCTTGGCAGCTCTTTATCTTACAGCTGCTGTGCATTTCTTCGTGTAGGGAGGCCTGGGGGATCTGCGGAGGCTGCGAGGGCTTTTCTGTGTATGTTTTGGGGAGAGAAGAGGCAAACAGAAGTCATCATAAAAGAGAAAGTGGTCACTGCCATAACAGGAGCGTAGGCTGAATTCTGCTTGAGTGCAGGGCCTCAGAAAGGGCCTCCATTACACCGTGTGGGGGGAAAGTGTCCCGTATCCGCCATGAATTCCTCACCTCGCTCAGCATCACCTTTAGCTTGCGTCTGTCTTTAAAATACATCATTGCCTTTCTTTACATTGCTTTTAAATCTACTTGGTTTATTATGAAATTAGTGTATATAGAGAAGAGTATATACAATTCTGTGTACACCTTAAGAGTAGTAATAAAGCAAATCTGTGCGACCCCAACCCAAACCACAACTCGGATTAAGAGCATCGCCGGAACTTCAGAAGCTCCACCTCCACCCCATCCTTTGTTCATAGGTTTCCACCATTTTGGCTTTTGTAAATAATCTCCTTTCATAATAATCTATCTCTGAAGGGTAGATTTTTCAGTGTTTTCTGCAATTACATTGTACATAATCTTGTTTCTTGTTCTTTCCACAATAAGATGCTTCTGAGACTCATCCATGTTGACACCAGGTGGCTGGAAGTCACTCATCTTTACTGCCATGCATTATTTCATTGACTAATGTACTAGTTTAGTTATCCAACCTGTTGCTGGATAATTTGGGTTGTTCTTGATTTTATGCTAAAATAAACAACACTGCTATAAACATTCTTTTATATGTCTGCTGGTGCATCTGGGTAAGACTTTTTCTAGGGCATATTATCTATTTGCTGCATAACAAATTACCCCAGTCTTACTGGTTAAAGACAGCATTTATTTCCTCACAGGGTCTGTGATTAGGAATTCAAGAGCCGCTGAGGTGAGTTCTGGCTCAGAGACTGACATGAGGTTGCTTTTGCTTGCTGGCCACAGAAATCTGTCAAAAACGCAGTTCAACCTCTCAGCTATCTGTTACCAATGGACAATAACCTCTTGGTCAGAGTGGCCCCGGATATGGGGCTCATGTCTTTTCTATGCCGTCTTTCCTGAATCTGGGGTGGCAATTTCTCATTGTTTTGTTAGATGTTTTATGTTTCAAGAAAATGTTTTTTGTCTGTTGTTGTTTTTTTTTTTTAGTTTTTGTGGAAGGGTTGACCAGAGTTACGTAATCTGTATTTCCCAGAAGTAGAAGATTTCTCTCTCTGTTCTGCACAAATATTTGTGCTAAATACATAATTCTGTGGATGACTGCCCTTCGGTCCACGAAGTCTTTCCATTGTCTTCTAATCTCAAGATTACTGATGAGAAATCACCTATCATCATCCACCTCTTTGACAGTAATATTTAACCTTGTTTGGCTGCTTAAAGTGATTCCCTCTTTGAGCAGAGTGTGCGGTGGTTTGAATGAAATGCCCGAGCGCAGGTTCATTGAACTGCCTCGAGTCTGGCCTGGCCGCTGTCTCTTCGTGTGACGTCCCTGCCTTTGCTCTCTGCCTCCGAGCTGACGTGACTGGCGGGGCTCACGGACTCCAGCCTGCACAGCTCCTCCTCTTTTTCCTGTATTTCTCCTTCATCTTCGTGCTCTGCGTGAGACACTTTCTTCACATGGATCTTTCAGCTCATTTTTCTGCTGTGGATAATATGCTATCAAACCAGTTCATGGATTTTTACATTTAAATTATTTAATTTTTTCATTTCTAAGAATCCTACCTGGTTATTTTTCAAATCTTCTCTGTCATTCTTTAGAGTTTTTGGTCCCGAGTGTAGCAATATTCCCCTGTCTATGATGTCAACATTTGCAGCCTGTTTCTGCTTTCTGTTATTTTCTCTCAGCTGGAATAGTGATATTCTCGTGAGTTTACTTGTTTTTTGTCTGTAAACAACTCCTGTCCTCTCTGATTTTATTCAATAAAAATTCTTTGAGGTCTGAGATAAAGGTGAGATTCCTAAAGAGGATCGTCATCTTCATCTCCCAGGTGCTGGGAATGCTTCCTGGTCAGAGACACTCTGACTTTCAGTAGCCTGAGCGAGTTTGGGCCACCCAGATAGTGTGATTTTGTGAGTGAGCTGGCTTGTCATCCAAATTCTTAATGGCATTTTTCAAAGATGCACATTTAACATACTATTTTTTTCAAAAACATACTGTTTTTGAAAAAGCATCTTAAGTCACAGACAACCACAGTTGCTAAGAGGTAGGGTTTGGATTAATACTGTGACATTTGAGGTTTAAATCTCATAGTGTGACAATCCTGTTATATATGAGAATTCACTGACAAGAATATATTCCTTTGTAAACGTTTGGTTTTGTGATTATTTTTTCAAGGCTAGCTATGGAATGCTATAAACTGACATTTGTGTCCCTGAAATTCAGGTGTTGAAACTTAATCCCCAAGTTGATGGTCATGAGGAGGTCGAGCATTTCCCGACAGACCCCGTTAGACCTCTGATTTGGTAGATTTTCAGGTTTATTTAAAACATTGTGGACAAGTGGCAAAAATAGTGAGACAGACTTTGAGGTGTTTCCTTATCCAGATTTCTTAATGTTTATTATTTTCTGTGAGGAAGGAAATGTGATCTTAGCAGGGAGGCAGATGTGACTCTGTTGCGGCCGATTGCCTCGATTATCTTGCATTATCCACATACCCTCATTGCTGTAAATAGATGGGGGTATTGGTATGTGAAGGTCCTCACGGAGACATGCATGGCTTTCTTTCCCTTCACTGCCTTTTAGATCAGTGAAGTATGAAATCGGAGTCCAGACTTTGGTGAATAAAGCTCAAAAAATATTTTGGCTTGATTTTGATTTCTGCTGGTATCAGTAAGTGAGCACTTGTCAGAATGTATATTCTGTAATTACAGAGCCATTGAGCAGTTAAGATTAATTTTCACCAGCAAATAATCTTCTAATTGTGCCACTGCAAATGAGCTTTGAAGCGGAACCTGATACTATATTAACCGTCCTGCAGCTCTTCTCCTAATAATGGCCGTGACACCGTGACAAACACCATGAAATCTATCCACAATCCAATCAGTATTCAAACAGTTCCTACATTTTCCGGAGTAAATTAATTTGAGATGAAGAACACAACATTTTCCTCTATAAAACAAAATATAAGCTAATAATTATTTTTCAAAAAAAAATTTGATGTCCTATAAAGCCTAGAATTAGTGATTTCTTTTGTGGAGAAAACCATATTCACAAAATGTAAATGCGAATCAGGGATTTTGTGTGTGTGTGTGTGTGTGTGTGTGTGTGTGTGTGACCCCAAAGAATTTGGATGATAGTTGGAATTTTTCCTGTTTGCCTTACAAGTTTGTGGAGATGTTGAAATCAGACTGTTTGCATGCCTGAGGGCGAGGGGTCCAGGGAAGGAGGAAGGAGAGGCGGTCAGGGCTGGAGGAATGTGCTTTCCGGGGAGACCTGTGTTGAATCGGATGCTGGCCTTTCCTATTCCAGTAGCATTTAGCAAATTAATATCCTCGCTGAGACTGTGTTCTCTCGTCAGTAGAATGGGGGCTGTCTACCCCAATGTGGCGGCGTGAGCATCGCGTGGATGCTGCACTTTAAAATGCCCGGCTTGACTCCAGGAGTGGGCTCCTTCCTCTCGGTCATTCTCCGGAAGCACCCGGGAGGGAAGTCACACGGTGACGTCGCCTCTGCTTCGCGCCCCTGCCCCTCGCTCCCAGCCCCCCAGGAAACCAGAACCTTCCCACCTGAAAGGCCCACCAAAAACCCTCTCCTAGCGCCTGGCTCACAGACTCCTGCTCCCTGGATCTGAGCTCCTTCCCTCCGGCGTTTCTGTTTATAAGTTCTTTGCAATGCAACACTGAAACAATCAATAGCATTTTATGTTTTGTAGTCTCTTTTTATGCCTTAATTTTTCTGTATTTATTTTTAGTTTTTGTTTCCATTTAGTAAGTTTTCTCATTTGGGGGCTTAATGCTCATAATCAAATGTGGAGTTTGGGGCTTTCAAGCTAACCAAAAATACCCAGGTGAAGACTAGATGAAGAGTCCGCGTACGGGCCTGGGAGTGGGGCAGCAGCCTGGGGATTTGCAGGCGGAACTCAGCCCGCAGCCGTGTCTTGTTTGGTTCGCAGTTTTCAAAGATTAGGATTGGCTGCATAATTTGTAATGGGGTAGTTAGGACAATACTATGAAATGTAGGTTTCTGGTAAAAAGAATTGACGATGTGATTGTTCAGAAGGACTTTGCGTGTTTAGTTGTCTGCATCACCACATGAAAACGGCGTCCTGGAGCTTGGCACGCTGCCCCTGGGGGGCGGGAGACGGCCCCCACCTGCCCCAGGCCCCCCACGCCGCGAGGGCAGGAGGCGTCGGCCGCTCCCCTGGCCTCTGCCGGCCTCTGAGTGCGCGACTCCTGGCTCTGCTGAATGCTTCCTAATCCCTTTTTCCTTCCATCTGCCAACTCTTAGCCAGTCGTTTGTTGTTTCTAATGATCTTAGCAATACTCAATCTCAAACATAAACTTTTTTTTTTAAACCAGGAAGAAACCTTAACAAATATGAATCTTCAGGTATTATTTATTATCATTAGAAGACATTTGTTCTATTTTTTTGAGGCACATTGAGCGCTTGCCAGAAGTCCCCAGGTGTCCGAAACCGGGCCAGAGGACTCGGCACAGGCTGCCCTGGGGGCTCATTTCCAGCCTCTGTTCTGGCAGACGGGGACCGGGACGGGGACGGGGACAGGGACGGGGACAGGGACGGCTCCTGTGTGACAGGAGGGACGGTGGGGCGGCTGCTCTGACTTTGACCAAATGTGGGACTCTGGACAAGCTCACGCTCTGGGCCTTCCGTGGCCTGCTAAAAGTTGGCTTAGATGACCTCGAGGGCCCCTTTTTGGTTCACAATGTTAACGGCGGGAAAGCCGAGCTGTTTCCGAGCAGATTCCCTGGGCCGCCGGTGGCCGCTGAAGCTCTCCCCCAGCACGTTGGGGTCACACACCCGCGGGGGCCCTGAGCAGTGCCCTTGAGCTGAGCTCACTTGCTGTGGGGCTGCACATTGTGGCGCTGAAAGAGAGTCATCTCTAAAAGGACGCTATGTAACTATTGAAATTTTAGATCTAAATATTTACATTTTCTATTGATTTACCTTCTAATTAGGTTTTTTCTTTCTTCTTTTGCAGTTATATTCATATAGTTCCCAGAAAACCTGTGAGGATGAGAAAGTTGAAGGAAGTAAGTATTCCCGGCTAACCACGGAAGATGGGATAAATAGGATGATTCGGGAAAGTGTCAATGTCAGTGTGGAGTAACTGAAGTTCTACAGACACAGCATTTTGCAGGAAATGCCTCTAAAGGCTGCTCCTGAGGCCAGAATTCACCGCAGGCTTGGCACACTTGTCAAAGCCCTTACATAACTAAGATGTGAGAAGCCAGTAAGACTATTCTCAGACCGCAGTCAGGGGGACAGTCGTCTCTGAGATGTACTGTGCAATTATTTGTTAGAACTTTTCACTTTTCTCTTGTTTTTGGGTATTTGGAAAGACCAGTGTCAGGGAAAGTTATTTTCAGTTGCACAATGTTGAAGCTAATTATATTGCTAAATTTAAAGATTTGTCCCAAGTTCTCAATATTTTTGTATTCGATCGACATTTGGGAGGCCTACAAGATGGAAATTCCCATCAGTGTTCACAGCACTTGATTAAAAAAAAAAACCTATTTAACACATAAGCTAAAGGTGACCGACCCTTTAAAATAAGCAACAAAAATTGCCAGGTTTTACACAAGATAGTTTGTGGATATTTAGGATGTAACATTATTTTTACTTAAACAAATGGACTTGTGATTTTTGTGGAGTGTTTCTAAGGTGAGAGGGGTCCAGAGCGTTGGCCTCTCTGCGTGGTGGTTTGGCCGTTTTTGTTTCCCCTCCGTGCACTGGAGATGTTAGCCTGACCTGAGAGGACTGTCGCGGGATTGAATGTGGGGATATACATAAGGCACCAGCGCGGGCCAGTGTTGGTTCTCTTCCTCCCTGTTTTAAAGAAGCAGGGCTTCTGTGTCCTTGGACCGTCCCCAGTGGTCCGGTGAGGACCTTTGGTGGCCCCAGCATGATCGCAAGCAGAAGCATCGAGCTGCCTCCCTCGGGTCTGCATGAGGCCGTGCGATGAAGCAGGTCAGATTTATTACCCATCCATCTTAAGTCATAACTGGCCAGGGAGAGGAAGGCAAGATTCCAACAAGAAAGCAATTCTGGTATCACTGACTTTCCTGGCTTGATAAAGAGTGTGGAAATGCATATGATCATTCCTAACACCTAGGCACCTGCTCACCCTTCTCTAGGAGGGGCAGGGAGACCCAGCACCACCTCTGGAAAGGACCCTCGGGGCATCTGTCCAAGTCTGAGTCTATGCTTAGCCTTTGTGCATGTCGGTGATTTGAAAAATAAGATACGATATAAGGTAACATTTAACCTTTTAGAATAGGAAGGAGGCCTCCAGATTATTTAGTCAAAACTTCTTGTTTTCTAGTTGAGGAAGCTTTGATCAGAGAGGTTGGTTGACGTGCCTAATGTGAAACAACCACCCAAGATTTTAAGCCCTGTGGCCCTTATCCCCCCAAAGCCTGCATGCGATTGCCATGTGCTCACACCAGTGGGACCACGGTTGCCTAAAAGGACTTTTGTAATTTTTCTTTGGGATTTATGCTTTCTCATTAAAAAATCTGCCTATAAAAGTAGTTATCATTGAGAGAAACATCAAAAATGCTGTACAGAAAAGCTCAATAAAAAAAGTGAAAATCATCTACAATGCTACCTCCCAAAGACCACCACTCTTTACATTCTCTCATGTCCATTTCACTGTTTATTCACACATAAGTAGCAAATATATGTACACAGAAACACACATATATACACTTACATATATAGATGTGTACATATATTTACCGAAGAAGAATCTATCAATAATCTGCTTTTTATTCATTTATTATTCTGATCTGCTTTTTATGTACTGCATGCCATGATCATTTTCACATTTGTAAATGACCTTTTGCAACATGATTTTTGCAACATTCTTTAGGGTTCTTTTCTTTTATTGAAGTATAGTTGATATGCAATATTACATCGGTTACAAGTATACAGCATAGTGATTTGACGGTTATCTGCATTATTAGGTGCTCACCCCAACTAGTATAGTTACTACCTGTCAACATAGAGGGTTGTCACCGAATTGTTGACTATATTCTCTAGGCAGTACTTTCATCCTGTGACTCATTTATATTATGATTGAGATTTTGTGCCTCTTTATCCTGTCCACCTGTTTCGCCCACCCACCCCGACGCTCCCTGTGGTGGCCGCCAGTGTCCGTCAGCAGGTGAATGGAGGAAGAAGAGGTGGAACATGCACACAATGGAATACTATTCAGCCATGACAAAGAAATCCTGCTGTTTATGACGACATGGATGGACCTAGAGGGTATTATGAGAAGTGACATAAGCCAGGCAGAGAGACTCTGAGAAGTGACTGGTGGTCAACATGATTTTTAGTGGCTGTAAAACATTCCATCTTGTGAATCTATCATAATTACTGAGCCCACCCCTGCCAGCAGACCTTTCGCTCTTACTTTTCACTGTTGTAAACAGGAATATAATAGACCCTTAATTGAGGCATATTTGCTCACAGTCACGATTGTTTGTAGAGAGGTGGACTTAGATGCACGATTTTAACCTATTTAAATTTACCGCCAGAAAGTTTTCTAAAAACACATACCGCCTCCAGTGGCATGTGAGAAAGCCAGTGATGACCCTTGGGTGTTGAGGTGAACAGCAGAACGTGCAGCGGGCAAGGCCTGGGGGTGCTTGGTGCTCACCACCCCTCGCCCTCTCCTTTTGAGGAAGAAGGCACTCCCTAAAAATGGATTGTGATCATTGTCATTTGATATGTAAGTTCTTGTTTTGGTGGGAGTGTGGCATTTTCACACACCTGTGTTGGTAGTGTAGCCAGCACTGAATGAGCCATCACCAAGAGCTTTGCCTAAAACCAGGATTTGGTCCAGGGAATCTGCTGTCCGCTGACACTGTGACCTGTGTGCTGCTGTCCCGGACGAGGGAGAAGAGCCCCCAGCCTCCGGCTGGCGTGCCGGCCTCCCCTGTGGGCACTGCTCTTTCCTTACCTGAGCTGCCTGTGTCTGTTTGGTCACCTCTTCTCATTTGCTACTACTTACTAACCCATGTTTTGCCTGCTTTGTGGTTTTTAGGGATTCACATATTAATTCTGGAGATAATATAAAACATAATGGCTGAAAGATGTGTACTTATTGATTTTGTTGATGGTCTTATTCTAGGAGTAAAAAATGCTCTGGTGAGATGCCAGACCCTGAAGGCTCGGCCTCCGTGGGCTCCCTGGTGAGGCCCCTGCCCGCTCAGCCGGGCCCGACACTCCCCACACCTCCCCGGGCACTGGTGGCCCTCAGTCCTTGCAGCTTGGCGCTGTGCGTGGCGCTTTTGTCCTCTCGCGTTAGCATGGAATGTGGGTGGTTGATGTCCTCACCACATGTTCACACCTACAGTCTCCTCTGGGAACATGGAACACTAGCAACCCCGTAAGGTAGAGCAGGTCTTAATGACTGCCGTTTAAGAGATGAATAGAGAACTCAAGAAAGGGTGATCGACATGTGCAAAGTTAGGTAGCTAGTTAGTAACAGAGCTTGGCCTGAAACCCAAGTATTCCACACAGGACTCCAGCACCTCCGTCAATCTTTCCCCAGGGAAGGACGGTTCTGCACTGTGCAGCCTTCAGTATTAAATGAGCTTCTTCTATTTAAATCATGGAATTAACCGACTCCATGAAGTAATCTTATGGACATTGAAGCACTAACCTTACAGAAAGGGAAGCGCTGTGCGCAGTGGGGTGGAGGCGGGCCGCGTAGCGTCGGGGGGTGTGGCGCCACTTGGGCTCCACCAGGGACACTGAGATGTGGGGTTTAGCGAGACGTGGTTCTCCAAGGTTGTGCAAAGGGCCGAGGGGAGCTGATGCCCCAGAATGAGCCCTGGAAGGGAGGCCTTGTCCCTCTGCTGCCCCCTCTTTCTGGGGTGAGTGGAGAAGCTCTACAAGCAGGGAGACCACTAGAGACGTGGGTGCCCAGGGGCATTGTGAGCCTTTTACTGGAAGTTCCTGGTGGTCTATCGGCAGGCAGGGCCACGTGTGGTCTGTCCTGCTTGTGTTCCACCTGGATCATTTGGTGGACAGCACGGGCCTGCTCATACATGGGGCGTGAGGATTTTTACAGTGACAATCGTTTTGGCGTGTGGTTGCAAAAGCCTGGGAACAGCTTGAATGTCCCTTGCTAGAGGCGTGGTTGAGTGATTCCTGACATGTGATTAGACCTCAGATAACACCTCTCAGCATGTTGTCAGGATGAATGAGATGCTCTGTGTGAAACATTTAGCACACTGCTTAGCATGTCGCAGAGGCACAAGAAATAGTTGATACCCCTCCTCCTCACAATGCATCTAAGTTCGAGTAGCTCACCCCTTCCAAATTTGAGGTCTATAATGGCCATCAATGTTTCAGTGTTTGTGGGTTACTCTGCCTCGCTTTGTGATGCAGTGATATGGAGCAGAAATGCCTTGCTTTCTGTATTCCCTCAAAGGATTTCCATTTTGGTCAAGATAAAGGAGTGGGAAAATTGAAGAAACTTCTCAAGAGACTTTGATTCACTTTAGAAATTTACTTAAAATTAATTAGAATACCATAATGTACACTTAATGTGACTGCAGAAGTGATTTATAAAAACTTCAATAGAATGAATTGAAATTACATTTCAGAAAACGGAAGGACAAGGAAAATTAGACTTGAAACAGATGCTCTTGGGACCTCGGCTTCCAATGATTGTGTCATGGTGGTTTTAATGAGAAAAACGTCCTTGGTCTCACTTTAATTCAGTGACTTGTATCGCCCCCTCCTGAGCTGGGTTTGCGGTCTCAGGCGGTGTGGGTTCAGGCAGGATTCAGAGGACCCCCGCCCCCCGTGCCTTTCTCCGCACGTCCAGGATCGGATGAGCCAGCTCCGTCTGTCCCTCCGAGGGGGCTGTGCTGCCTCCGCTCCGCCCGTGGGCCTGTCCGGTACTGAAACATAACAGCGTTGATTTAGATCCCATTTATCTCCAGTTGTCACTGGAGAGAAGGAAGGGATTTGCTGATTTGCCGAGATGAGTTTTCCAGAAAACAGCAGCTACCCA